AGCATTATTTCTGGCTTAGCGAGGTAAAGGAGCGCGTCAGTGGCCGGGAATCGAACTCCGCACCATGTGGATAGTCGGTGAGCATCCTAACCGCTGTGTCACCGATGCACTCGTAAGAAATATAGACTTGTTACAATATTTTGAATTTTTCAATGCACACCATGCATAACATACCGGATTCCATATTCAATAATGACAGCCACTAGCAATTGAAGCTAAGAAAACTGTCCCAGCAATGAATAAATCTCACAACAAACACCAATCACCATGAGTGTGAGAAATCTAAAGGAAAACGTCTCTTTCAGTTACCTGGTCAGTACCGTTTCAACAACAGGTGATGGTAGGAATGAGGATTTCGTAGCCGGTCAGGATCGGAGAAGCAACACTGACGTTCATTACTCCGAAATTGATAGGAGGTCTATGGCATATAACACAAGGAATAAGTTTCGAATTTTCAACACTGATATCAAGTCAGTGAATACTTCTTTATGATCCGGAGTGTTGGCGGTTACATTAAGGAAAGCACTCCCAACAGGCTACAAAAGACGATTGCTATCGCGATAACGCAGAGAAGATAAGCGAAACCAGTCAACAACCTATTGTCCAACCAAAAAATGTGGAGACCCTCAACTGACATCACACTCCGGGCAATCCCTCTAGTGGAACTCGAATGCGAAGTGACAAGTTGGTCATGGGTCTGAGGTTGAATATGAGGGGAGAAATGAAAGCTTGTGGTCAGTCGTAGTATCAGGTGATAATGATGACAGAATACCGTATGGAATGGAAATGTCCTGTCGAAGTTATATATATTCCGCTCGGAACAAAAACGTTTGAATTAATTATCATTAATCAATTGGCTTCTATTTAATTAGTAACTTGTAACCATTATGCATCATTGAATTGAATAAGTCGATGAACTGGTGATTTCATCATTTTTCGTATTTTCGCGTCTCTATATTTACATACAGTACAATAACTAAAACTGCATACTTTACAATCGAAGCATTTACACGTATGCGCATAGTTTTTTTTGTTTTGTTACTATTCTCTCTTTCTGCTCACATTATTTATCATCGCATACATATCGCTGTTTAGTTGTATCTTTTACGTAATTTTTTCATAGGCGCGTCATAGTTAAAATATCATGTGAGAAAGAGGTTTATCTATTTATTCCGCCTCTCCATCTCTTTCCAATCACATTGTGTTTTGCACGATCACGTTTTATCTTTACTTCTGTCTACTCCGCCTGTATAAGATTTTCATTTCGGTAAATTCTTGCTCTCTCTCTGTCTATCTCAGCCTACCTATCAGGAGAGAAATAACTCGCCATTGGTCAGACTGAAAGTGTGTCTCTAAAGTGAAATAATCAAATACTCAATACCTCAGCGTGTTCTTTTTTTGTGAAGCTATTTCTTATTCACATAAACAGGAAGATAAGCGCTTCAAGATAAAAAAATCCAACTTCTTTGGTATTGTTGACAGCCGGCAGGTTATAATCGGCTCACATGTGAGGCACTATTTGATTAACTGAGTATAGAACAAATATGAATCAATTGGTGCTTGAAAAAAGTGATAATGTGAAATTTTGTAATAAGGCGAACACTGAATATCAAGTTAGTCCATGAATTTACTTCAACTAGAAAACCGGTGAAAACCACCAGGGTGTACTAGACAGCCACTTTGGTCTAGTTCTGTCACTCCTCAGAAGAATGCACCCGTCATCCTGCTAGGGATCAAACGCAAAACCTTCAGGTTACTACTGGATTCCGCTGGTCATTTAGCCACCGAGATGGAACCCAGTTGGCCATGAATTTCAACTTCGGCTAATTTGTGATGTGTATTGCGTCACCGAACTGCGACTATACAACTTTCCAGTGCTCACTGGCATTCCGTGGTTTCTAACTTAAGTCAATTCATCACCTAACGGGGAAAATCAACTAAATACCTCATACAAACCAACACTTGAGAATGCTGAATAGTCATTCTTGAACCAGTTCCTTCTTCCTCGATTCATAGCAGAGGAGCCTATATATAAATATATATATATATATCCGGTTCCGAACGCTGAAACTAATTCTATCTTGTTAGAAGTTTTGTTTATCTTTTCATGCATGCATAAGAGGATAAATCACAAAAGAAATCAGCAAGTATTTTAGATCAAAGTGAGGAATGCTGTGTTGGCTTATGCATGTGTGTGTGTGCATTTACTGCATCCTAGCTGCCAACACCATGGAAGTTGATTTCTTCCTGGAGTACATGAAACAGAAGGTGCATTAGTGTTGTGTGCCTGCTGAACCCCTAGAGCACAACTTCTCTAAGTAAGTCACACACTTACACGGCCTGTTCTAAGCGCTTTTTGCACTTCTATCAGTAATAAGATCTTACCTCTGGCAATGGATCACTGCAACATAAGTTGAGATGTACATTTTTCGCTGCCGACGCCTCAGAGTGAATAGGAAGCATAGTGTTGGCTTGCTGTTTATCCGAAGGAATACCTTACTGCTCTCCTAGATCCTCAATATGCTGTGGGTGATTTACACTACATGGCGATAACTGCTTTCAATTAACATTATCTAGGCTAGTTTTCTGGCATACAAAGAGTTGCAGAGACCGTTGGTTCTTGCCCATGTAGCTTCCTCAGTCGTTGTGATATTCAAGCCTCAACTATCCCACGTACCAAGTTAACAGCTGTCAGTCGGAAAGGGCCAATAAAAATCAGAATTGCAGCATTGAAAAGAGTAATGCTTGGACCAAAATTTCACGGATTAATCGTACTTTTCTCTGTTTTTGTTTATTCTTTTTTATTATCATCCATAATCTGCTTTTTATTTTCTGTCAATAAATAGTATGAATAAATGAAGTCGATAGTAGAGAAAGGGTGTCGTCATTAGATATTTTTAAAGGTATTTTCTTTGCTCAGGAAAAAAAAAAACAACAACAACTTCTAATCTGATGTTTAGTTTTTTTTAAAAATATTGTCTCAGCAAGTAAAGGCTTAAGTTGATGAAAAGATAAATTTCTAATGTTGAACATGGTGTTTATGGTGCAGAATGGTTAGTAATAATGAGATTATTTGTAGGCTGTTAGGTAAGGAAGCTCAGTCAGTCGATGAGCTTGGCAAAATACATCGACTCAAATGGCTTGGATACGTGTTATACACTCCAAGCTTATCGCCTTGCTAGTCGAGTAATATTACCTGGCTGGTATAGGATCAATTTGGAAAAGAATTACGGATGACTTATATTTATCCATGAAGTTTTTGAAGGTTGGTTTGAACCACATACTGACTGCGCAGCTGGCTGGGGTTCTCGAGTTTCTAAGATCTATTGGCTGAGAACTGTTGGTGATACGGCTTGAAATCGTCCTGTCTGTGATCTGGCTGATCTATTATATTCTTATCATCCTCCGTGATCTTATTCCTTCTCCCGTAGATTTTTATTTATTATCATCGATCCCGCCACCTTTTTTTGAAATCTCTAATTTTTGAAACCTTAGTTGGTCAGGCGGTTCCACTCTAATTAGTATTTTTCGTAGGGTGTTTAGGCGTCTTAAACTAACTTTTGCGATCCATTTTAGGCTCATTTTTTTGTAAAATTTCAGTAAGCTTCCGTTTCTGTGCCACTACTATTTTTCTTTAGCTTGTGGTTCACATTGACCAGATTAGTAATGGAAACTAAGAGTTATTGTCAATATGGAGTAGCGGCCACTGTTATATGTTATCAAGTCTTTATTTGAATTCTATGCACCTCCATCCTACAGCAGGAGGTCAACTGAGAGTCTTGAATGATATATATATATTATATATATATATATCATTGGTAGGGTTTGTTATCGTAACATTAGGTGACAGACTTTGGAATTTCCAAGGTGGCCACCAATGATTACCTTTGGGGTTTTACAGATATGCCGTCTTGCTGACTAACGAGTGCTGCCAACAATCATGAAACTTAGATGGAGGGCTTCTTGTTGATTGATTGATTAATTAGAACTCGGTTACCGGGTACCGGGCTGCGTTACAGCACAATTATTGTGTGAAGACTAGTAATGCTACTCAACTGCCTAGACTAAAGTTAGGTGGAGCAGAATTCGAACCTGAGGCCCACTTGTGTCTGGGCCATATCTCCACCTCCTGATACGCCTGCGTTCAAATCACCTAAGAAGAATAACAGATAAACAGAGTTATACAACCATTCTGTGCCACTCAGAGGTTCATCCATTAGGTTCATTTTTTTCTGAGTTCTCAGATGACTTGGTGGTAACTTGTTCACACCATGGCACCATAAACGTAGCTTGTAGGTCAGCTCTTTTATTCAATCGTGGTATCCATATGATGATGGTGACTACCGACTTGTCTAAATCTGGATGATGCCTGGTAGTAAGAAGCTTAAACTATAGTCGACATTTCTCAGCCAGTTGTCTGCTAAGATAGACGATTCTGTGTGTCGATTTTAGGATTATACTGTTACGTCTAAGTGATCTCATACGAAATCTTCAACCTTATACTACCAATCAAATTAGTGTCTCTAACCATTGACTTAATATGATTTTGTGTGTTGGCATTGTATATATATGTATGATGTATTTTATATATTAAAGACCTTCTGACAGTCACTGACCAGTCTGATATTTTCGTGGCACAGTGAAGTAGAAACTTTTTATAGGAGACAAATATATCGTACTCGCTATTCAGTCGAGTGGCCTATCGCATTTCGGTATCCTTATACCCATGTATTGGTCCACTCGGTTACAACAGTCTTCATGTGCATATTTTCCGGGAAAACGACTTGGTTATTTGATAAAGTATTGTGAGGTCTCTTTTGCCTGAAACCTGTTCTGCTTCATTTACCACTGCCTTCGTAAAAGCGTCTTTTGTCTTTCCGTCATTTTTGGGTATTGATTAGAGTGGCTACAACGGCTCTTCTTTTAAGTTTAATCGAATTCTCGAATATACTTTAATTAAATCTCCTTTTGTTTCTTTTCGTTTCTGTTTCTCCGCTTAGCGTAAAGCTGATGGTGTTATGTGGCGAAGTCGTGAAATGGAGTTGAAAGCCCAACTGGCCGAACGTAAACAAGGTTATTTACAATTGGAATATCAATATGAAAGTTTGTTAACTTCTCAACGTCTTCAAGTTGCTACTGGCAGCGGTAGTCAGTCTCTAGATAATCATGATTTATGCATGCGGAGAAAATCTTCACTAGACTGTGATAAACTTTTAGAATACAATTCGAACACGACTATATCAACTGGTATCGGTGCTACATCTAATGTTGTCAGTACCGCCACTAATGGTACGCCTAATAATAATAATAATAGTAGCAGTATCAATGGTGTCAATAGTTCAAATAATAATAATAATAGTAACAAAAGTTTCACATTGGGGAGCTATTTAAAATTTGCTCAATCAACACCTCATTCAACAAGTCTGGCAAATTCTACTGCATCAACACCAAGAGTATTGAATCCAGACAACAGTAATAATAATGACAATAACTCATCCCCATCAGCGTACACAGTGAGTTCAGAGGTGTATTCCATGTGGAAAGATTTGCCTCCATCTGTAATGACTGAGTCTATTGGTCCATTAGAAGATCTATGCCTCATACCAGATGATCCTATGATTACAAGTGTCTACATCAATCCTTCAACATCATCAACGTCGTCATTGTCGCCAACAAAGGAGGCGGAAGTGGCGATAGCAGTAGCGAACACAACAACAGTAACTCTTACAACCTCTCCGCCACCGTTAACATCCTCCACTTCTGTCACCTCCTCATTGTCGTCGTCGAATAGCCAAAATTTCTAGTCGTTGCGTTTCCTCCCTTCCATCCCCGTTTTTCGTCTTCTCACAGATGAATCAAATTAAAATCATGATATAATGAAGTAGTTGATTAATTTGTCCTTTTCGTAGCTTAGTGTGTCTTTACATACGCACACACACAAACACTGCTGTTTCAGCTTCTGGTGTTGTGATTACATAATAATGATATTTTGCGTATGTGTTCTTTTGATGATGTGAAGCTTTGCTTGAGTTGTTCTCATTATTCATGTCTTCTACCTCGTACGTAAACACAGTATATATATATATATATATATATATATATATATATATATATATATATATGGTTAGATATCTATCGATAAAACTGAGCGTTATTCATTCATTTATTCATATTTAATTATACAGACAGATAGATACAAGATTTTTCCCTCCTGTTTTTTGTTGTTTTACTCACTCTTGATTTCTTTCATTAATTAAAAGAGGTATATCTATAATAATGTGTCATTGTGTACAGAATTTGGCTTGTTGCCCTATGCTCTTCTCTTGGACATTGTTTTTTAAGTGTTTTATATATTATATACTTATGCTTAAGCATAGGTGACTTTGGTCTTTCACATATAAGTGTCAATTTGTGGTGAGTATGTTCTTCTTTGACTGACATTGATATTCTCCTCTCTGTTTTATTTATTGTCTTCTTTGTGTGTATGTATTTACGCGTGTGCACGTGCAGTGAGTGCTGTATAAATCTTGACCGTTATTGTTATCGCCAATGAGAGTTGTGTGTTTTTGTATTGTATGTATCACACTCACTGCCATCCACATTTACACACCAGCCTGTTTAAATTACGCCAATGTATGCAGATTTTTTTGTACCTCCGCTGGTGTGTATTCTTATTCCACTATGATGTGTGTGTTTATGGGCACTGCTACGATTAGACACATTTTAACTCAATTCACAATTTATAATGACTGCTTAATCTGCATATTCTGAAAGTTCTTTTATTATTATATAATACGGAGATGGATTGCTGCATCTGTGTTTGTGTGTGTGTGTGGTTTGGTGTTTTTTACAATGTGTATGTGCATTCATATCCCCTTACTGTGTAGAATGTAATGTATATTGATTGATTGATTAATTAATTAACCCCGGTTCTTGAATGCACTACCACTGCTGATCAAAATGTATAATGTTCAGTCAGTCAGCCAGTCAGTCAGTAAGTTTGTTTAGTTACTTAGGTTATCTGCTCGCCTCATTCTCTGTTGCTTTCTGTGTTTACCTTTATTACGTTTCTTCCTGTGATTATTTACGTCAGTTATCCTTCATATTTGTCTGTGTGTGTGTGTGTGTGATAGGTGGATCAATGCAATCGTCCTTACGTCATTACCTGTTGTCTTTGTTGTCTTTATAAAATTCACTGCACAACAACAATTATAGTACATTAACTGATTGTTTTTTTCATAATTATTTACCTAATTGAAATTGATTGACTTCCTTGAATTATAATTTTCTGCCTTCTATTGCATTTATGAATGTGTACGTTCCAGTCCGTCTATTCAGGTGTCTATTTGTGTGTGTGTGTGTATGTGTTCACGTTATTCTCGTGTAGACAAAGAAGGAGAGAGACTGAGCTATACACGTGATTTACATATTTGTTTTTCTCCTCTCATCTCATCTCTTTGCCCCCCCTCCCTTCTCACTGTATTTGCCTCCGTGTTGAATTTGTCTGCTGCTACTGCTGGCCTCACCCCACACCTGTCCCACCTAACGCCGGTTAAAATACTGGATAACGTATTTATTGAAAGATACTTTTTTTTGTCACAACTCATTTTAAAAAAACAAACTCTTATGATTTAATAATGAGCAAGATAAAGGAAGAAAACAAAATAACACAGTAAAAAAAAATATTTATCTTCAAAAATGGTTGTCGACTTTTTTTTGTGTTTTCCTGAACCTGTTGATTATTTTCAATATTTTACATTCTATATCCTGGAATCTTGGATGAATTAGAAGAGAAATTACGAGAACCATTGATTGTGCCTTATTTTTCTTCTTCTTGTTGTTGTTGATTGGGAAGATTAGGAGGTTAATGCATTTGGGTTTAGGCGCGGAACACGTGGAGAGAGGTGTGCAGCAGTTGACTAACAGATGTGTAAGATCTTGAAAGTCACTTCGTATGCTTTGTTCGACCTGAATATTGTACGCCCATTAAAAAAATCCATCAAGTGTTGTAACTAATGGTTTTTGTAGGTACACATGTGTATGCTGTTTCCTATCGAAAAGAATACGCAAGGCTTCTCGGAACTCAGTGATCACTAGTGTGTGAATGTCCGGCTAATTCAATATCTTGTAATTTTTCACCAATTTATTCATGTCCTTAGGTCGTACTGCATTGTTATTTGCAGACGTCTGGTGATATTAGCAGGAACACATTCGATAAACTGGAAAGCTGACAACTATACTTTCCAATGTTAGTCTAACGTTGTCAAAATAAGCCACATGTGTGTCAGCGTTACCGGCAAAACCAGTGGATATCTGCCTTCACCAAGCTGTAAGTCGATAAATTTCCGCGACACTGGGCTGTCAGGCTCTGAAATTAGCTACTCGATGGAATTCCATGATGTCTGTGCTCTAGGTCCACACAAACTGTCACTCAGCCTCTTAATAGGATTGTTAATTTCGCCTTCTGGTCCTTCATTGTGACAGTCTACGACACCTTCGAAGTCCCTCAGAAATGCCACGTCTCCTTTTTTGAAAGATCTGCGACTACGGCACCTTCGTCTGTGGAAGAGACAATTAAACTGATCTTAATGGCAAAACAAAATGGTATCTGGTAGAAGGACTGTTCCTATGGCAAAAAGACATTTAGTGAGGTCGAAATATGCAGAAAATGTACACTGAAACTTTAGTCTGGAAAAGTGATTCCTACTTAGCTTCGTTTTTCGCCCTCGTTTCATGATTATGCTAAACTTTCAAAATGATCTTCATTTCTTCTCTTTGCGACTTAATCTATTCTTGTGCTACCCAAGATTCTTTCAGAAGACCATACCAAAATATTACTCTCAAACTTTTGTCAACTGAACACGCCTAACCTGCGCTACCTAATGTTCGTGAAGAAGAGCACGTTATAATTTTGCAATTGAATCAGAATCCTAAAAATCTGTGAATAACTAATTATCCTCACATCAGACTTGCTTAATTCCCTTCTAACGTTAAAATTCTCCCAAACTAGACAGTGCTAAATGGATATGAGTGCAGTTCAAGGTAGCACACAGCAGAAATCTTCAAGCAATGATAGAGGAAAGAAATAAATTGTAGTAACAATGGGCAAAGATATACACGGGGAAGAGAGAGAGGGACAGAAAGCAGTTAAATGAACTTCGGTAAGGATTTTCTAGAAGATTATAAGTAGCAGATATGCCTGTGCCATTGATAACGATTTTGATCCATACCACTGGTATCCCGATGATCTCAACTAGGCAATCTATCCTTCCCCATGCTTGACTGAAATTGAATTTCAACACGGAGCTTTGCATAGAATTGACACTCCACATGGTACACAAAGTAAGAGAAAGCAGATTCAAAAGAATTGTAATAAGCAAGAATGAGTGAGAGAAAGAATAACAACACAAAAAAAACATGAGGATTTCATAGATATGGCAAATCACAAAGAGTGAAACCAGGTAGCGAAGCAAATAGTAGAACGTGTTGACCACTTCATTTATTTGGGAAGTTGGGTCAACCCCAATAGGTTGATTTCTCAAGAAATCATAGCACGGATACAAAAGGCTCATTTGGAATTTGCCAACATGCGCCATCACCGGTGTAAAAGTGACATTCGGCTGGCTATCGACCAAAGGGCGTGTGTACTGCTCAGCAGTTCACTCTGTCCTCTTGTATGACTGTTAGGGCTGGCCATTGAAAGTGGAAGACATCAAAAGCCCGGCCAGCTGCATTTGATCATAGATGTCTGCGTTCTATCTACATCCCGTGTTAGATGATATAATAGGGTAAGCAATGTTGAGGTGAGGGATCGGTCGAGTGCTAGGTAGGTGAGGAGGGGAAATCAATCGACGAGGCTGTGAAGCTACATCGACTGAGATGGTTAGGATATGTCTTACGTATACCTTCCTCTATAGATGGTCAATGTTAGCTGACATGGGATGGATCAGCTTGGAAAAGAGCCAGTGGTTGTCAAACCAAAACATGGCTTCATCAATCAATAAAATCCATCGCAGTTAGTTTAAGTCAGCCATGTAGTAAGGTGTAGAATTCCTGACTGGTTGGAGTCGTCGGGATGGTGAAAACCAATTATTACTGGAGACAACTGGTGATGTGGCTGAAAATCGCTGTTAATGGTTGGCGGAGATGCATTCACTCTTTGTGATTTTTCATATCTACGGATAGTCTAATGTTCTTCTATATTACTATTCTTTTTCCCTCACTCACACTTCAGTTTATAATCTATCTTTTGAACCTCCGTTTACTCTCTTCTGTTGGTTTGTATGCTACAAAGTGAGAGTGTGTCAACTCGAACTTCTGCACATCTGTGCAAAGTTGTGTGTTGAAACCAGTCAGACAATTTTATTCCAACCTTGTTAGAATTCGCCTTAATTTTGAGAATTTATTTCAAGTTGAAAGTGTTTTTCTTTAGTCATTCACTAGTCAACATCAACGGAATTTTTTCCACTCTTCGGAGTTATCAGAAAATGTCTGCTTCATATGGTACTCAAAGTATCTATCTGGTAGTTCAGCTTTCGCAAAAGTGTTTTCCGATCAAAGAAAACTCGTCTTCTGTGCTGACGCTTCAAGTGATTTTGAATGAACTAAATATTGCACCACTATTCTATCGGATTTCAAAGCCAGTCAAGATCAGGGAAGCAAGGCAATAAATACATTAAGTACTCTACAATCAGTGTGCATACGCACGCACACACAAGGAACAAATTCGTTATCTTGAATACTAATCTTATGTGAGTGACTCTATATGGTTGAAAGACTTGTCTCTGATTTCATCTAAAGCATTTACATCAGATCACCCCAAACTTTTATCAACGTTTATCCCATTTTCTGCATTGATACTGAAGACCAAGTAGCTGTCCAGACTGAATAACTAATAGGGACCTCTAACAGCGAGCCAGCAAACAACCTACCTCCTAACAAGCATGCAGAAAGAAAATGTAGGTGAATGGATTCCGCATGCTCTGTGGTGACATTCAAATGGTATTATAACATGTCAGACAGATCCTTGAATGGAACACTAATTAGAAGTGACCAGGTGAGTATAAGATAGTGACTTGGGGAAGATACTGTGAGGAATTAGTGAAAGCTTATAGGTGGTCGGTATGACAATTGGAACTAATGCAATTGAGGTAGGCCACTAAAGCAATGGAACGAATATTATTATCATTAATAATGTCATATGTAGAGTTTATCTAATTACTAAAGTTATTGTGATTACTCAAAAGTAAGTACATGGATCATTTGGAATAGTTGTAATTCAAAAATAGCATAATACCTTGTTGTAATAAATGAAAACCTAATAACTAATGAAGATAACGTATCTGATTTGACCTTAATAAATCATTAAATAAGTTTTATATATATATATATATATATATATATATATATATATATATATATATAGTCATTCATTACAAATGGCAATAAATTAATTTCATATTAATTACTCAGCATTGTTAACAGGCTAAATTTGCAACTGTAACTACTACTCAATAGTAACTAGTATTCTCCTTGTTTGTCATAATCAACAGTATCTAGAATACCCAATATTGAGTGCCTTGCACTATGTGTGACCTTGATTATCATTAACAAAAATATTTCATTTTAAACATTAGAATAAGCATAATACTTTCTTAATACACATATATATCACATTTCACTAAGAACATTTGGGTGTAAGACTTCGAATCGCACACATTGAGGCTAAATATCTCTGTGGTGATATCTGCAACCGTTTCACTGAGAGTGACGATGGACTTACATTCCAGAAGGGACTTAAATTCCCTCATGGTTGCAGAAATGCCTTACGGACAAGTGCAAATAAGCAAGAAACAGCAGGTGCAGACCCTCGTACTGAATGCTTTTAGTCATCAAGCATTGTTTCATAAAAGTCAACTGTTACCTTGCTTCTTCACCTAGTTTCATACTTGGCTGATAGAATTCAGTCAGCAACAATACCAAGGACACTAGACGCCGGAAAATGGTTACTTCCTGTTGGACAACGGCCCACTTAACACCTATTAGTTCAGCACTTAGTCTCAAATCTCCATGGGAACAGCAATTCCTTCAAGATTGGAGATGCTGCTTAGTGATTATTGCGTACAAATACGAAATCCAGGCCAAAGGCTTCTTCGAAGGTACTCCGAACCACTTAACAACACTTAATTTTGTTATAATTTTTTAAATGTTAATTATACAATTCCGACTATAAATGGACGGCGCTACATACTACTGATTGATTGACGTGAGTGGTTTGACACCATGCACATAAACCACCGGTGGTTACTGGCCAGATAAAAGTGATTTAGATACCAGTTGGTCATTTTGTTCCTTTGACGCCGAGCTTATCACATTCTCAATTTTCACATTAATCCTCTGACAAGCGTTATTGTTTAATATTGAGTGGTGTTCAAATACACTCATGTAAATTAATCAGTAGTACAAAACCGTCAATATTCAAGATCAGATGGCCAGAAAAGATCAGCAACAGAGATCTCCGGGAGCGAACCAACCAGGAACCGATTGTGAAACAAATAGGCAGGAAGAAATGGAGATGGAATGGATTGGCCATACTGTGAGGAAACCATCAAGTGACATCACTAGACAAGCCATTGCTCGAGTGGAACCCGAAAGGGAAGCGGCGAGTTGGTCGTCAGTGCGAGAGTGGGTGACTTGGAGGAGGTCATGTAAAGAGGAGATGAAGGCGTGTGGGCAGACTTGCAACCAGGTGAAGACTCTAGCAGAGGACCGAACGCAATGGAGACGCACGGCTGAAGCCCTATGTTCCTCTAGGAATTAAAGGAAGCAATAATAAATAATAATAATAATAATACAAAACCATCATGTGTCTATGCTTGCTTCCTTAACTACTAGTTATGCTATCAAGCAGATCAAACATATTGCATAATCTGAATAATTTCACTACATTAGAAACTGTGGGGAAATTTTACCACGAATCACGAAAAATAGAAATTGCGAATTAATTCGCAAATTTTGAATTCGATCTAACAAATCCGACTGACTCACTCTGGTTGTAATCTTTACTTTGTTTAAGTAGACAATGGCATTCAATGTACAATACGTGACTATTGTATACAGAATTATCTATTCGCAAAACTAATCATAGTGTCACTGTGTTATATCGCCGAATCATTGGGAAGTGGTCATTTAATTTAGCGATGACTGGATACTACCAGTAAAATTCTGCATTGTGATTTTTCCACGCTAAATGACTCGCCCTCTTTCATGCGCTTATTATACATAGATTGATTTCAAGTCATTGGTAAGTCATGACACAAATTGATAATATCGTCAGATAAGCCTTCACTATTCACACTGAAACAGTTTACTCTGCTCATATCAGTGATTGATGAGAACTACTCTGAAGTCAATCGATTCTCTCCACACACACACGTATACACACACACACAGCAATACTCTGTCATCGTCGTAAACACAAGAGTATTTTATAAAACTTTATTTTCTGTAAAATAAATCTATCACAGAGAAAAAAAAGTAATCAAGCCTAAATTTTTGCTGCAAAGTTGAGTCAATCTCAAAGTGTTGTGATTCATTTGTGTATTTGTTATTTGTTATCTGAAGATACGTCAATTTTGACATTTACAAACGTCATCATTATTATCTCCGTCGTTGTTGTTGTTGTTGTTCTTATTCTCCTGATGAACGTCAACATTTTCACTCGGTGGCAAAGCAAGCATTTTATCCACTTTGGATGATACGATTTGTTGAGAAATTGATTTACCGATTTCAAAAAATTGATTAATTTCATTGAATAACCTCCTGAGTTCTGGTAGAATTTGTTTAAATAACTGATCACGTTGACAGCATTCTGTGCTGATGAATTTCATCTTCTCCTCTATAAGATATTTGTAAAATTCTATGGAGGACTGAATCAATCTCTGTTCAGACAAGTGGTCGTTTTCGATGATATCTGAAAAAAAAGCGGAGAAAGAAACTCTAGTTATTGCGTAATGTTATGTGGATGGACCGACAGTAGAGTAAACCAGACTATGAAAAAACCCAATGCATCTCATATGAAAGTTATTTAGTTTGTATTAGAGGCATTTACACTAACCTCTAACGTATTAAGTCAAGTGATTGATTAACAGAATGAATATAGAACCCTTCTGAAGATTTAGGTGTTCCATTCTGCTTATCATCTTTCTGGATGAAGTCTCGACAACCACAGAGAGGTAACATCAGCTGACAACACCATAGTAACGCTACATATATATATATATATATATATATATATATATGTCAATCAAGCTAAGACAAATTACCTAAGAATTATTCTCAGCAAGAAGAAAAACCTAGTAATGATTGGCGATCTGAAGTGAACACAGAATTTATTGATAAGTAGGATCATTTTTGTAAAATTATCTACTAATGTAAAGAGGATAATGCGGTCTCTGTACTGTAAAACACAACTGCATATTAGATAAGCTCAAATCAGTTAGAGAACCACTGGAAAACCTGGGAGTACTGGACAGCTGTTTCCGCTGTTCTAGTTAAGGACTGTTCAGCAGTACGCACCCACCACAGGACCGAACCCAGAACCTTCTGGTTACAAGCTAGGTCGTAGACCATTAAGCCACTGGAACCAGGTCAAATGGCAAAGTGGCCTAATGGTAACCAGAAGGTTCTGCGTTCGAGCTCTGGTAGTGAGTGCATACTACTGAACAGTCACAAACAAGGACAACGAAAACAGCTGTCCAATACTCCCAGGTTTTCCAATGGTGCTCTAACTGATGTCAGCTCCTGATGAAATCCTCTAACCAATCAAACAAAATCCACACAAAACCAATACTTGAAAAGCATATTCGATAAGTTTACTTGATATATCACACAGTGATAAAGTATTAATAACTGGATTAGGTTTCGAGCACATAATCACATCAGCGCAGTCACGCGGCTTCATAATTTTCCTTATATATTTTTGTTTCCACTGTGTTATTCATTGTAATTGTAAAATTACGTAAAGCAAATTATGATGTTGTGTGAATAAATTGATATGATTATGAGCAATAAATTGTGCTCAAAACGTCATCCAGTTATTAATACTTTATCGTATGTCAAATCCAACTGCATTCACCACTTTACATGTATTTACGGCAGCAAATACATCGGAAAAGAGACCAACTACTAGATTTTCTGAGCATATCCCTAAAAGTCTCTGTATAAAATGCAACAAAGTGTTCTCTAATGCCATTGACAAACATTAGATTGATACAGAACATACAGTAGAAACTTGTCAGGCTTTGAAAATAATCACTATACAAAGCGAACTCTGTTTACGTCGTCTGGCAAATACCATTGCTATCAAAAGGTGTCAGCTCAACCTCTGTTTACAGAAAAAAAGCTCGGTGACTGTAATTGTTTTGTTCATGTGTTTTGATGTTTGCTTCTAATGCGCAACAGTTCACTTAATCTGAATTTTCACTTACTGAGTTGAACTCATTTTCGCGTTCCAAATTTACTTAAGTGTTTGTCTCTGTCATAATTTTACTAATAATACTATTCATTCCCACCCTCTTAAGCTTTCCATTATATATGTATTGTATTCGGTCTCTAGTTAATCCTTGTTTCTAAAGGAAAACTGAACTCTTTCTTCCCTTTCTTGTCTAATCACACTGTAAAACGTTAGCCTTTTAACACGGAATAATTTGTCTAGTTATGCCATTCTGAAATTACATTACTCATACCTTCTATCCACAATTCAATATCACTGTAAGAAAAGTGTGTTTAGAACTTTCGCAATTTATATTTTGATATTGCTTAGGATGTGTGTGGTTGAAAAGAATCCACGACATCAAAGATGTTAACATTATTCTGCAGATATGTTTATTCTTTCTTTGTACAAATAACTATATCTGCATCATCCACACGAGATAAAAATCCTCACCTTCATTTCTAAACATTCTACATCCTACGCAATGACCTTGATTTGCTCAAACTGCCATCATTAAAAAAAATACAACAACAGATAATTACTGTCAACACTGTTTAACGAGTAATAATTTAAAACTGTACTTTATTCTGCTTAAACAATATTGATCAGTACCAAACACAGATACACACAGACGCAGGCAAGCGCATACCCGTTAATGATCGGTATCGGTTTCTTAATTTCGACTTCATCCTTAATATCTTCTCCCAATCTGAACAGATTTCTTGTATAGATTGTTCTTGTTTTAAAATACCCTAAATATTGGACATTAAGATGAATACAGTAACACAAAGAATGAAATAAAAGTTCACTGAACAATTGAAACTTGAATATTTTAAAACAGTATACAATAAATTATTTTCTAATTTTTATAAAAATATATATTTATATAATTTTATCAAATATGTGTAATAATAAAATATATTTGTTCAAAATAAATAAAGACATCCACTAATTTATTCAGTCAATAGTATGGATTTGATGTACAATTCGCCTGTTGATTGAAAAGTCGAGCTTCAGAGGCCTGTTATCATTGCACTTGGTTCTCAGGCATTGATTTCAACTGACATCACAACTGCTTATAAATTTTCATTCTCTCTTTACATGATCTTATTCATTTCGCCCTCCGACTGCGAATCCATCAGTTCCCAATCAGCTTTCACTTGAAGAGTCTGTCTGGCATGTGACATCAGTTGAGAATTTCCTCAGAGAATGTCCATTCTATCGTTCTGCATATTTGTCGCCTGGTTAGCTGTTGCTTATTAGGCGTATGTGGTGGTACCCGATTGGATGACATTTGTAACAAACGTCAAGACATCAAAATCTATGTCCAAAAACTGGATCACTCATTTGTAGAAAAAAACTCTAGTGTAACCAGATATGCGCCAGTAGTTTTCATGAATTACTTTGATGGTCTATTATGCGCAGAAGTACACATAGCGAAACACAGCCTAAGGTTTAGTTACCTCAGAAACAGACTTAATCGTGTACTACATCCCAACATCCAGACACTATTACAAGTCACACCAATAAGCATATACTTCCGGTATATGCACCAACACCTCTACTCCTCTACTTTGCAAAGAAAACCATGTCATTATTATCCACTGAATACATTTCTTGTGGAACATAAGGACTCCTCAGATATTCACCGTTCCACTTAGTTCTCTTCCATCACTCCCAACTGCCCAAGAGCTTCCTCTATCTCTGCACATAACCTTCTGTATGCTAACTTTTGATCCGGAGCGAACTCATCGCTTTCTATCCGGATTCCTGCATTTTACCAATGAAGCCCAGTTTTAACACCTGGAGAGGGAACGCCTTTCGTTTACTGCAGTAGAGGACACTCGTATGGCTGAGTCACAGGATGAGACTGTAAACAGTTCTCATCTTGATGAAAGTTGGGATGTATTCTTTCCTCCTGCAAAACGGTGTGTAATAACACAGTAGGCGGGCATATTATTACACCCCACCTAGTTTAACAGTTGATTCTATACCCGAAAAGATGGAAGGTTGAGAGTGGAGCTAGAAAGCGTGAAAAACAACTCCATCGCATCGGTTGTTATATTATTACTCGGTGGCTGAATTGTCAATATTCTGGTCTCGTAATCTAAATATCCTGCGTTCGCTCGCTGCGCGGGTCATGGTTCTGCAAGTTTTCATAAGTTTTTCTAAAAGAGAAGCATTTACACATGCGCACATCGATGTAATTGTCCACCATATTAGTTTGTTTATTAGATGTAACACACAGTGAAGCAGTATTATTTACTTGAAATAATAATAAATAGTACTGTTTCACTGTGTGATACATCTAATACTGCCACAGTGCCCAAGTTTTACACATGTAATAATGTCTACCAATTCAGGATATAGCAGTACGGTAATGGCTGCTTCCCAAATTATAGGGAAACAGCTCACTAGTGCTCGTTGATTCTCTAAAGGATGTTAGTACATGACCAAAATCACTTTGAAAGCAGTCAAAATCTCCGTAGAACCTAAAACCTGAATATATATATTGTTCGCTAACATTGTTTCGTTTTAAATCCTACTACTGGGAATCTGTAATTTATTTCATTTTAATGAATGCAGTTGGTTTCAGATTCGTTGGAAGCAATCAACAGAAGCTCTGCGCCTAGGTTTCGTACTTGTTCATGCTAGTCAGAAAGGCGTATCTTTAAATTCATAAGGAATTAGGTCCCCAAGGAGATCCGAACACGTACCAAGCAGTGCTGTGGTCTGAGAGGTTATCGCACAGCCGTTCATTTCCACATTCGACTTCATCAGAAATTGTTACTGATAAACTGGATGGTGAATAACGTGTAAATAATGCATCGCGTTCAGTCCTTTGTGTTGGTGCTGACTGAATTTCTCAGTAGTAACTTGTCTCAAAGCAGTTATGGGTGATACGGGCGCGAGTCTCTAAGGCAAAATCAGTTTCTTGGAGGTTGCGCATAGGCATTGCTGACAAGTGAGAAAGAGCTTTCAACCGACCTAACAACATTTCAAATTGAACTGCGATGCTGAGTTACCTAGATCCGGAAATCAAATTTTGTACCAACATTACTAGGTGCTAGAAAGATGACACATCGGTTAGTCCTTATTAACAAGTCAGCCAACATAAAATAATAAGTCCATATTTAGAAGATATGCAAAAATAACGTCAATATCTTGCAGATCTAATCACTTTATCGATTGACATTTATTAGTAAATTAAATTGAGAAAGTATGTTAACTGAACTCTAATTAAATATGGTGACCTGACTAACAAAATGAGTTTATTTGTTCAGTCTGATATAGTAACTGGATAAAAGGTGAACAGATGTAAAACTTTGCGCAAAAATCAGTTGGACAGTTAGAAATTATGAACCAAACCATTATTACTACTACTAATAATAATATTGCTTTTATTACTATTCACTTCTTAAGTTCCGCGTAGAATATAAAGACAAAATAGTACATCTCTACTGCATTATGTTCACTCCATTCATATCCAAAAGGCTCGACGACTGACATCAAGCTTCTATTTCCTCCTAATCATATAATCTTCTTTAGGTCGTGATCAGACTCACTCCTAACTCATCATTTTTACTCAGTAGCCTGCCTAAAGTGTGATGTCACTCAAAAGTCTCCTCAGAGTATGTCTAATTCGTCCATTTCAGTGTACCTGTGCATATTTGTTGAGCAGTTCATTGTTGACTGGTTCACAGCCAGAGTTCTATCGTCAGCATAGATAAATCATTATATGCATGTATATTTTCTAGGCGCTTCACTTTTTCCAAGTTTTGAGTTGTATGGTTTCAGTTGACTTCAAGGTAGGTTTCCTCACGAACTGATATTATTTAAGGTGCTCGTCCTTACCTGAGACTCTTCATCAGCTCAAACCCATGACTTCATGAGGCGTCAAATCCAATGCTGTCAGAGTTCATTGTCGCTTGCTTGTCGTTTCTGGCTGGTCATATGATCTTTAGTATCTAGTGCTAATGAATGCATCCGTTAATGGAAGTCGGCACTAGCACTGTAAAGACGTACTGGCTCAACATTAGTTTTAAAAATCCTAATCTTATTCCCTGCAGTGATTGATTCTGGATTGTCACACTGATTTTAGAGTACTGAACTCCTATCTTCCTTTCCCGATCTGATCCTAGCTGATTTTGACATCATCATACGGTTCCACCTGTAGTTGACAAGATGCTGTCAAGGCAAATGAGTGAAGCGACTTCTTTTAAATTTCCACCCATCGATGATGATGAAGATGCTATTGCTGGCAATCGCGCAAGCTGAAAGAAGAGCCGATTAGCCTAAGCATAATGAATCTTATCTCCACAGAGATGTATGAGTCCAAGCTGATACACGTCCTAATAAGCCATACATGGGACTGGAGAGCAACACTGTATTGATACTATCCATAACGAATAAACATATTTCATGAAAGAAAGAATAATTTAATAAGTTTTATTGATTTCGGAAAGATGTTGAGAAGTGTATATCATTGTGTTATCATAAATAATGAGGTCTGTAACCACTAAATTTGTAGGCATGCTGATTTTCAAAATCCGTTTAACTATAATTTATCATGTTTTGGATAAAACTTTGCCATGGAAACAGTTTGCTTAACTTTATTTCCACTGTCAAGGTACAAGAAGACAACTAGTGTTTTAAGATAAACCGACAGTACAGAATTACCAATGAAAGCTATTCAGTCATGCAGAAAATAACAGACAAATGAGCGGAGAGAATTTTCTTCACCGATAAAGTCATCTTAAAAGGCTGTACACTCGTATTTATACTCACCAAAGAAATAAAGCAGTCTGTTATTTAATAATAGGGATATGAGTGTAACACCAGTGATACAGTTAATCAGAATTGGTTCGTAAATATTAAATATTCCATAATAGTCAACAACACAGCGGCAGTAAGGTCTGTTATTCAATAAGTGTCCACTTAGCAAGTGCGTCGGTTGCATAGCGGTTAGGACGCTCACCGACCATGCACATGGTCCGGGGTTCGATCCCCTGCCGACGCACTCCTTTACCTCGCTGAGCCAGAAATAATGCTGGTGAAGAGGAAAGGTTGGGCATGAGGCTAGCAACCCCATCTTGTAAAATAAACACTGCTACAGAAACTTCAAGCCACTAGCTTGAAGCCTTATGTTCCACTGGGGAACGTGAAGGAAAAAAATAGCAAGTGTGGAGATGGTGGGATAAAAAAACAACAAACAAAAAAGAAGTAACGCATGAGACAGACTACAATGAATTACTTACTAAAAATAGAAGCAAACTAGTAGGAAATAGTTTAAGACTATATCAGAATAAGAAAGTGAGCAATTCTTTACCGTACACAGATTTCAGGGATGTGCTGATGATGAATAGCTAGCGCCTCCGCCATACACTCCCATCCCCCTATTACTCAATAATAGATTACTATGTTTTTAGTGAATGTAAATACAATTGTACATTCGTTGACGATAAATTCGTCAATAAAGAAGATTTTCTAAGTTGTCTTTTATCTTTTTTAACAACATTACCGTTGATCCAAATAAATGACCTGATTCGGACATCAGTCGGTGGTTTGATGGAAGAATACACACCAGCTACGAGAGAGGTCTGAGTTCAATTACCCACTAACACATTCCTAAACCTCGCCCAGTTCACTAGACGATATTAAACCCTAAAAAGAGAGCAGGTCGGACACTAAACTGACATCGTCACCCCATATTAAACACAGTGCCATCATCGCTACTGAAACTTCAAAGTTCAGAACCTGAAAGAGCTGATTAAAAATTTCGATCTCACAGCTTAGATGACAGACTACTGAACCATTGATTCGAAGACTGCTTCTTTTATGAAAGGTGGATTTAAGAAACACATATTGTATGTCACATCACTATACTGATAAATCTATTATTCACTTGTCACAATCTTTTGCTAAAAGTTGCATTCATGATGGATTCGTTGATTTACGGAAAATAATCAGTAGAATTTCAAATTAACCCGAGAAATGATCGATCCAATTCATCAGTGTATCAGTCTGTGTGAAAGCTCAATTATTTTCAAGTGAGATGCCGCACAAATACATGTCAAGATCAAGTTCATGATCAATAGTTTAAAAGGTGAACATTGTAATCAGCAATTTGGGAAGAAGTCCTACTCAAACAAATAATTCGACTTTAAATCCTTGAACCATATATATCGGATCAAGCTTTCGAGAAATCAAGACCAAAATAACTGAACACTGTCGAGCGTCTATTCAACCACCAAGAAACCGAATGAAACTGGAGGAAATTCAAGAATCCTCGGCCCACAGGTTTCGACTATATTGAAATCATTCAGAAAAATGTGTGGAGTATTCACCAAGGACGTCTAATAGCAGGAGAAATTCACATTAAATAGGGATGGGGAATAAAGACAGAATTTAACCTGGATTCAACACCATCCCCTCACACGAACTAATAAATCTATTCTGAATGTGATAGGCGTTTTGTTATTATGTAAACACACTGCTATGACTATTATTATTCGATCTCTTGTGCTCCTAGTGGAATGTGTAGTGTCAGCAGCATGTCATCATTTCACTCTGTTCTCTGCAGCCATTTTCAGCTGACTCCTCAGTTGCCCACAGACTTTCATCTCCTCTACACATGGTCTCCTCCATGTCAGCCTGTACTCCTAACTGGTCATTTCCCAGTCGGGTTCTACTCAAGTGTGAAGTAATGCAGCAATCCCCTAAGCGTGTGTCCAATCAGTCTCCATGTCCTTCTGCACATTTGTTGGTTGGATAGTTGGTCCTTGTTGTCTAGCTTTTCTGACCATATGATTTTCAGTAATGAGCGAGGGCTTTTAAAGATGAAAATTTGCAGTAGTCTTTTGGAAATGCTTTCGGTGACACACACACATACGGACGTGCTTTTATTAATTTTTCAATTCATTCTGCTTGAGAACAAAAGGATTTTCCTCGTGCTGAAGAGCTGTTATTAAGTTACTGGGAATGTAATTTCAGATTTTCTGAATTCTGGTTTAATGTTTAATGTTAAGGCGATTAAATATGTCAAAACGCCAATAAAAACAACAGTATCGTTTTGTTTGTTTTTTATTCAATGGGATATACAAAAAGATTTTTATGATAACACAATACCATAACATTAATGAGCAAATGTGAGACACATATTCAAGACCATTGAACATTGAAACAAATACATTTAAAGTATGAAAACACTTCTGAATACTTCTGTCTGTGATAGCTGATCTACACAAAGTCTGCACATTTCCAATGGTTGAATAAATAAATTCCCTTTAAATGCATTTTTTTAGTAACAACTCATTGTGCAGAATACTTTTATTACCAATAGATTGAAAAGTTTTAATAGAAATTCCAAAATCACGCCTACACGTTTGTATGCATGAGTGTATACGTGCATGAAATAAAATCAACTTCAGGGTCATGTTGCATGACGGTGACAAGAGAATAAGTGAGTCTATGCCAGGTTCGAATTAGTAGTCTGGAAATTTATTATTCGAGCTGTTGTCTGTTTGTGAACTAACTAGAAACACCAATCAATCCCTCCCTGCAAATTAACAATTGAAAGTTAATCCAATGGATCCGAATTATTGACTACTGGATGAAGTGCCCTGATGTTCTGGTGAAAAGTCGTGATCACTGGGGTCCCTTTAGTCAGATGTAAGGACAGATATTCCCGGATTATATTGGTTGCTGGCAGAAGTACTAATTCGCGGTCTAGCCACTGGATTCCGTCTCACTGAGTGAATGGTCAACAGGTACACCTCATAACGTGAAGGCCCTAGTTTGGATCCCAGGTGGTATCACAGGTGCATACTTCCGAGGAGTCCCAAATTGAGGAAGTGGAACGGTTATACAATATTCCCTGGTATTCAGTAGCTCCCGAACTAATGTCAAGTAGTGTTCTTACTTGAGCTACTAGATTCAACTTCCTTATCACATCATAATTTCACTGAGACCACAAGACGGAGTGGCTTTATCTTCATCAAATATTTCTTAGATTATTATCGATTACCTTGGAGAATCACTTATCTTGATGACAACACTGCAAAGTTTACTGATAGAAAATTCAGTTAGTAATAGTACATTTATCACATGAGTTACACTATAGTGACCAATCAATATATCCATAATGATCCTACATGAGGTCAATCGTCAGTCCAACTGCTTCAATGGTAATGTGTCTGTGACGGCAGCACTGAGTAAGATAAGTTTTGATCCTGAAAGATGCCATAAGTCCCTTCAAAGCTGCAGATATGCCTTATTAACGAGTCCCGAACAACCCCGAAACCTGGGTATCCAGGACTTTTTCCTGGGCTACTCTATCCACCACAAAGTCAAATTCACAGTCCGCTTCGATGTGCAGGCACCTTGTTTGGTAACCGCATTGCAAAGCTTACACGGATAGGCAGAATTTAGTCAGCATCAACACTATAAAAAAAACTAACCTAATGAATGCAGATTTCATCTAGCTGATTTTCGATTCGTAACTCCCAAAGAAAAATCATTCCTAATCTGTTTGTTCGACAGAGTTAGAAGCAATATTATTTTTTAACTATTTATCTCTAGTTTATTTTAGGGAGAAATTGTTTACGGTGTAAAAATTAATTCATTAACTAAGGAATGTTTTTCTCTGCAGTTTTTGGAATGTGATTTTTTAGCAATTGTATTTTTACACTTAGTATATCGATCCTTCGGAAATGTGCTGTGTTGTAGTGTGCTTTTTATATTCTGTTTACATCATGCATTGAATAGCATTTGGTGTGTGCAATAATATTCATAGCGTCTTCACACACACATACACACACGTGTATACACAATTCTGTGTTTTGCATATATTATCAAACGAGAATCTTGCTAAACGTCCATAAAATGGACAAATTATACAACAAATACTATGCATAGTATAGACTATCCTGTTGTCACAGATCACCTACTGTAATCTGAATAAATTTGGTTTGTTAAAAGGAACTGTAGTGAATTCTCACCTTCAAATATCTGCAAAATATGAATTCTATTCTACTCTATTCTATATTACCACTTTCTTTGAAATGAAGCACTCCGGGAATATCACTGAAGAGCTTGGTGCAAAACAAGTCCAACAGTTCTTTAGTTAAAAGATTATTTCTATCTGAGACTGGCAAGCGATGCTGCATAACGTGAATGGTTTCCAACGCTTATTTCAATCAGTCAACTGTATATACCATTATCTTATCTACTTGATGTTTGAAAAGTGTGTAAAATGGAAATTTGAGACATCAGGGCAACACTGACACTCATGATATTCCTTACCATAAAGGACTGGAAATAAGACTAGACTTCAGGTGAGCATAGGAAAAACAGTGGTGATGGACACACCTGACCACCACCAACAAACACAAGTTGCCATGAATGGAAGAGGTCAGAAAAAAGTCGTCTCTTTCGTTTACCTGGAAAGCATCGTTTTAATTAAAGGAGGTATGGATGAGAATGTCATGCTATTACAATAATAAAGACCAGATGGCTAGAGAGGATAAGTAATACAGAACCGTGGTCATGAATTAGCCAACAACCTATTACCCAGCAAATATGCAGAATGAAATGCAGTTGAGTTGAACTTGCGCTGAGGAGATATTCAAGTGACATCACACGTCAGTGGAAACTTTATGGGAATCGATAAGCTCTGTATGGGTCCAAGGGTGGCATGGAGAAGAGGATAGAACAGCAAATGGAAGTTTGTGGGAGGTCGTTAAATCAACTAAAAAAGATTTTAGAGAGTAGAGAACAGTCGAGACGCGCTCATGAACCCCTATTTGCCCTCGAAGTGTTGGAAATGAACAATAATGATATCCCGAAAATCACTAGATTAATTGAGAGGAACCTGCAGCATGGAGCATGTATCAGTCAACGCCTGAAGCATAGATGCTAATCTTCCTAGTTTTATCGTCTTCACACCTGGTTTTTCATTACAACTAACTTCATTTTTCGTTCTTGTTTTTGACTTGTTTATCTTCCTGTTTACGGTTAATTAAGTTAAAAAACCTTAAATTGTTAATATGAGCAAAATACAATCAGAACAGAACAAGAAGATGGTATAAAGATTAATATGAATTGTACTCACCACTCTGCTTACTTACCCCATCTAGTCGTGCATTTTCGATATTAACAGTATTTAATCGGCAGACATTTGTATAAATATTACTTTCTGTAGAATTTAGTAAATCAATTTGGTCGGCAAGTTTTTTCTTATAATCTGCTTCTAATGTCATTATTTGTTTCCTCAATTGCTTCTTAATTAATTTGGAAGACGGAGGAAAAGTTTAAAAAAAGAAAAAAATACTTAGAAGTCAGAGACGCATATATTTATACGTAAGGCACACAGGAGTTCTTGGTTCTAATCCCAGCCTATGCACTCCCAAACCTCGCCTAGCTTGTTTCATGACAGTAGGCCAGGAAAAGAAGGAGGACTGGATATCAGAAGAGCAACCTAACCACTCTCAACGAACTACACCATAAGTACTGAACCTTCTACAGCTTGAGGCTCAGAATTCATGAAATGGGAATATTCCACCTTATGGGTAGAGGCCGTACACGTAGATTTTGTACTTATGAACACTCATCGGTAGGGCACATCTGGAACCTCGGAGGAAGCAATATCATCCCAGAGATTCAGTTATCAGTAACATTAAGGACTATACTCATTGCATTGACAAAACCCTGGTGACAAATCACTAATTATATGTATGAATGGGTTTGAACTAGGTAGGGAGTTGTAGACGGCATAGCTGCTGGCTTTACGATGGTAAAATGACTTGAAATTGTTCTCAATTGCGCAGATGAATTCAATCCTTGTTATCTTCTAGATTTTGAAAACCCCATATTGTTATTATTATCCGCGTAATCAGTTTATTCGATTTCTATACACTGGAACTAATAATGGATTTTTTCCCTGTCCCTGTTTACGTGCGTTATTCATAAATAATGATGAATGCACCGTGGAAACTTCTAGTTTGATAAATCAGTCCAGTTTAGTTCACGATGACACTTAAAACCTGATTAGTGGCCCACTAGAAGACAAGGCAATTTGACCACCAACTAAAGAATCCCTTACTATACTTTACTCTAATTTTAATTACTCATCATAGATGAAGAGGGCATTTGAAATACACAAATAATTAAATGATGCGAAAAATATAAAGGCAAACATTGAATTTTCAAATGTTGTTTTGTTAGTACTTGATTGATGCAAAGTTTGATAACGAGTCGACAGATCATCTGTAGAACACTGGAGAACAGGGAGTACTGGATGGCTGTAAAGTCCTAGTTTATGATTCTTCATCAGTACTTGAACATGACTCTATAGTGGATAGGACCCAAGAGCTTTCGGTTACGAAGTAAGTCGACTGACCATTTAGCCACTGGGACGGAATCCCATGGTGGGTACATGAATTCTAACCTCTGCCAATTCTCACCACCAGCTAGCGTCATCACCAAGTATTTGCCCTCACACCCGGTTCCTTTATGGTCCATACTAATGAACTTCAGGCAACTTCATGCTGAAGTCAGTCAGTGGTGTGCCTAACCTTGTAACCTGAAGTGATTACCTCAGAATGTATGAGAGTGTAATGCTGGAGAGGTCTCAGACAGCACTCCTTGGTTCTCAGTGTTTCTCTACCGAATGTCTCAGGTCATGGTCTAAGTTGAAAATAAACGTTAAAACATGATTAGTTAACTCACTAGATCGAAATCAAGCGTCTTATTGGTATCATTTAACTGACGTATTTCACTCTCCAACGATCGAATAGTCTGATTCATTTCTTTGAAAAAGAAAAATAATAATAATATCACTAATAATGACAGTATAGACAATGAAGTAATCAAATAAGTAATAAGTTAGAAGAAGAAAATAGTCATTACAATGGATTTACAACCCGTTACCATCTATGAGGATGTCAACTTTAATTCCAGAAGCTCGTGCAATTCAGAAAGATTCATTCAACACGTAAACAGTTGAGCACGAAGTTGCAGTCTTAGACTAACCACAAGATAGTGTGTGTATATATATATGTAACAGGTTTGTTATGGAGTGAACTAGAGATTCTGAACGTAATCACATGCTATTTCTCGAAGTGGAGTACTAAACTGAACTCAAGTTTCAACGTACAGGTATGCAGTAAAGTGCAGCACTTCATAAAAGCACACAAAAAAACAGAAATGCAAAGAAACTATTTTAAACGGAAAATTTATGTGAAAGGGAACAATTATGTGATGAAATATGACGACTTAATGGGTCTCGATGATTACAAACAGTGAATTCGTTTCCAGCATTGATAATAATTTTGAGACACCAACAATCTCCGGCCACTGATTCATAGAGTCGCCAAAAAATGGTCAAATCCTGCATATAATTTGTTGCGTTCCCATGTGATTTCTCCTGACTAGTTTCCAACGTAATTCTACGTCAGATAATATTCTTTAATCAGGAAGGCGACGGTCTAATATGTGTGACACGTTTACCAAACACCTCAGTAGATGCGATTTCGCAACTTTATCGGCTGACGTTCCTTCTTCATCTAACCTCAATACTCCCCACCAATATTATATCTATAAAGACGAAACAAAGAGTGCAAACACCTGTTCCGAATGACACACTGCTTAACAGTGTCACCCTCACCGAAAGTCATAAGTGAATAAACTTTCGTGGTTTAAAATCAATTAGTGAGGTCAGCTATAAGTAAACTAACATGTTGGTAAAAAGTAAATTAGATTCCGTCACGGATTGACATCATTTAGAGAACGACTGAAATCCATTAGGCGCCGGAGAGCTCTACCATCCTGATTTAGGATTCGTAAGCGCTTGATTAGTTTTAGCAAATCAATGCTTATTCCTGACTAAATATGATATGAACTTCCCGAGGTTCTAATCAGCAGCCATGACGGGGTGGGGTGTTATAACTGCACTGAACAGAATGAACCCGTCGCTACTGGTTATGTCTGCGCCTGCTAATTATTATAACGGTATGTAACTCAACTGGTTCGCCGATATGCCTATTTGTCCGTTGTACGTTCCCATTCACTGAGCCATGGAAACATCAAAAGACAAAGGCTAGCCTGTAACTGTGAGATACTGTACTATACATCACATTTATATATTTAATTTATCACAATATAGTTGGCTCACAACCGTGAAAATAGATTGTTCTTATTGGCTGGCAATTGCTATTCTCATTGGTTGGCAATCCGACAAAGACGATGAATTGATCTCACACACACTATATCACAATATACGTGAGAAATGATAGATCCGCATAGTAACTCCATTACAAGATAAGTCACACGATTTGTGAGAAAGGATGATATACTATTTTATTCTGGGTCTTTTCACGGGGTCCATTATATCAGGTGTGAGGGAAGACATTCGCCGACAGTATAAGATGACAGCGACTGAACCAGACGTAAACTGGCATAAGCTAAAATTCGCGGATTATTAGATTTCCATCCGACAGATGAATGTTTAGGGCATTCACCTTATGACCTGAAGATATTGGATTCAAAGCATCATGGAGTCACAGGTGTGCTCTGCTGAAAGATTCGAACCTGTTTTCCAACAAATATACAGAGAGACGTCGAAACGGATGGATTGGACATACTCTGGGAAGAAATTCAAGTGATGCCAGGTCCTTGAATGGAGGCTCAGTCGGAACTGATTTCAGAAGGGTAAACTGAGGAAGACAGTGTAGAGAGTAACTAATTGGTTATAGGCAGGTGTAAAGATAACTGAAAGCTATGGTGGATAGCCGAATGGAATGTGAGTGTGCCATGTCAGTCCTACTTCTTCACTCGGAACGCGAGGAGCAAATAATAACAATAAAATAACCGGTATTGTCTGGCATATATTCAAATCTCTACGTCTATTCAACCAAATTATAAATAAACAGGGAAATTAATCTGATGCTCACTAGCGACTGGCTCTATTCAGTAGTAGTAGGAAGCCGTGACCAATAGGATGCAGCAGGTTGAAGGTGAGGCAGTAACTCATCGAAGAAGACACTGCGAATTGGTCGTGCTACGTCGTGAATTAGCAAAAGCTCGAATACATGAGCCATCGAATCGTTACCAAGTGTCTTAATGGTCTACAAGCTAGCTCGCCTTGTAACCAGAAGGTCCTGGGTTCGAGCTCTGGCGGTGGGTGCGTACTGCTGAACAGTCTCAAACTAGAACAACGGAAACAGCTGTCCAGTACTTCCAGGTTTTCTAGTGGTTCTCTAACTGATGTCAGCTCATGATGAGACCCTCCAACCAATCAAACATGATCCCTAAAAAAAATTACTTGGAAAGACATTTTTAAAAAAAACAGAAATCTGCTGAACTCACTTACCAACTTGTAATGACTTGGTCTCGCTTTCAACCTGTTCATTCTTTTTCACTTTACTATTTAAATCTTCTAATAAAGGCAGTTCATCTTGAATTTCTTTATTCAATTGCATACAAATCCCATTTGAATCATCTAACATTTTGCTGAGGGCTAAACCATGGAGCGATTAGGTGGATGTGAGAAAAGTGGTGCAAAAGAGAAGAGATAAAATTGCCAGAGGGGTTAAGTTTAACACAGCCAGTAAGTATTTGCAGTTGTGATACAGTTTTATCCTGAATATGTATTTTCTGCTTAACGTAAATATTCTGATGGTATGAAGTTCTCTAGGCTATTTATTTTTACAAAACTTACACGTCCATCTTTTCCAAAGAAGTATTGCATGGAAGTAAAACCGATAAATGAGATAGCACACAGTATAAAGAAAATAAAAGAGAATTTTCTTTGTAGACGAAGTGAACTTCAAACGCTACATACACAAGTTTATATATGGTATGGTTTATAAATGGTACGGAACAGTACAAGGAATGTCATGTTTCGACATGTATCTCCTAACTGTGTGTGCAGAAAATTTCGGTTCATTCTCTATAACTACCATTATCTTTAATTCTTTCCTACTTATCTATTTCTTTTTTAGTAAACAATTCACTATTATCACCCTAACATGTCCCTTTTGTGTACTTTTTTCACTTTCACAACCAGTCAAGTGCATGTAAAATGGATTAACATGGCTAATTAGAATTTATGAACTATTGTAGTGCAAATCCAGTGATAGTATGATAAGCGTGTTCACGTTTTGCAATCTAACCTTAATACAGTCATTTGATACTCTCCGGTAAAAAGCCGCAACACTGGAGGAAGTAACTGCCTATTCTCCATGTTTTCAACTGATCTTTCTGCCTTGAAAGTATGCAAATACTTAAAAAGGATTCAGTTTACGATACTACAAACATCCATTCTTCACCTTGATCACAAGTCAAAATTATTCAAGCCACCAGTGATCTACGGACAAATATATATTTTCTCTACTGACGTGATGAGATCTTAATCGTATTATAATAATATAAATTAATAGATGGTTTTCAATCTTGATATGACTCAGTAACGAGAGACCAACAGACAAACTAAGAAATCATTCCCTGAGAGGTTTCCAGCAGATGGGCCGATTCTTATATACCAAACGACATGTTTGTTAGGTCAGTCAGAAGTTGATATATATACTTCTTTTGTTAGCTACAACTGTGTACATCAATGTACTTGTAGCTGTCAAACCAGTACACTGGAAGAGCAGAAATTTTATTTTTTTATTTTGATTACAGCTTGATGCCACACCGTATTTTCAGTACAAGTATGGAATTTTCAGCATGGATATCGGTAGCCCATATTTTTCAGGCCGACCATCGATATCGGGTGTGCGTCGGCAGGGGATCGAACCCCGGACCATGTGCATGGTCGGTGAGAGTCCTAACCACTGTGCCACCAACGCACAGACACATCTTTAATTTTTGCACACGTACCAAAACGTCTGTGGTTAGGATGATGCTATTCTTCCAGTGCAGACGTTATGCGATATGTGGCTAACACAAAACATCTCAGATTCCTTCGTGATAATCAATAAACGACCAAGTTCAAGGCTCCTTAGTTTATCGTAGGCCAACGGTGTCAGAGAGTTTTGTATTCAAATAAGAAGTGGTTGTTAGTGGTTATTTTGAATATTTGTTTGCTTATTAACTATTTTCTGACTAATTCCACTTAGTATCTTGTTACTACCCCTGCTCCCCACTGGCTTTGATCATATTACATATATAGTTACAGCAATTCATTAGAAGTTTGTTAACTTAACATTCCTAGTTATTTTTTCATTGGACACTAGTCACTGACTAGTGTAATGTACCTAGTCCTATCTTTGGTGCAAACTGAATTCTGCCAGTCAAATTTCCAATGTGGCTGATAGATTTCAGTCTGCACAAAAGAGCAAAAAAGACTAGTATCCAATCAAAAATATCCAATACAGCCCTACAGGAGGTCAACCGCTAGCCTGAATAGCTCGATGGTAACGTCTCTGACTGCAGCATTGGATGATATGGGTTCGAATCTCAGAAGGGATATGAGTTCCTTCGAGGTTGCAGATACGCCTTGTTGATGAGTTCCAACTAGCACGAAATCTAGGTCCAAGGCTTCTCGTCGATTGCCTCCAACCATCTGATACCAACAATTCCTAGTTGACGTTCGATGTTTGATTCTCTTATGAACTAAAGTTGTAAGAAAACTATCAACTTTTATTATTCATGTTGTAAGCAGGTAGGTGGTGAAGAGGAAAGTTTGTGCGTGAGGCTAGCAACCTCATCCTGTAAAATAAACACTGCTACAGAAACTTCAAGCCACTAGCTTGAAGCCCTATGTTCCACTGGGGAACGTGAAGGAAAAGAAACAAAAAAAGAAAAGTAGGTGGGTGACAATGCGATTCATCAACCAAAATAAAAAATGATTCGGGTGAAGTTAAAGTATTAGGGCTAAAAGCAACAACCTTCAAGTTTCGACCTTCAAGAACCATTCAGATATAGGGAATGCTGTGAAAGGTCATTCTAAATGAAATCATGCTTGTCTTTCTGGACTTGGAGAAGGCAGACACAGCATTCCACTTATTCTCTAGGTCCTTTTTCTGTAAATCAATACTGTTAGATAGTGTAATAGCGTTTAAGATTAGGGTTTAGGGTAAAGGTTAGGATTAGGGTTGGAGCTAGGAGTAGTTCAAAGAACAGTGTCTGGAATATCAACAGATCTCAAAGTGCCGTGACCTACATTCGCCCGGATGAACGCATCTGGTATGATTTCTCCGCAGATCATGTGTGTAGTGACTAGAAGAAATTCTTTAAACACGTAAGCAACAGCTATATAGCATAATATCATGTTTGCGATGTGTTTTAGTGCATTTTTCAATGATTACGAGACTTTTTTGCATCTGAATTCTGATTGTTTGTATAGGGTCACTGTAGTTTTGCCCATGATAGTTTAACTTTGCCGAGATTCGTTTTATCCTGCCTCATAATTTTCGTCAATGAGTTTTGTTCAGACTCATTAAAGAGAATCCATGTATGAAAGCACCTAACCCTTCTGTTAGCTTTTCTCTTAACAGGATCACACTAGTACTCATTTTACGACGAAGGCTGTTCGAAAATGAGACAACCGAGTGGAAAACATGGCTTCAAACTATAAGCTTTGGAGATACATTGGAAGTGTTGTTGGTTTATACGGAATAGGGTGGCTAGCCCCGCGTCAACCCCCCCCCTCGTTTTCTGGGTTTACTACTGGCTAGGTGAGATTTAGGAGTGAGTTGGCGGAGAATCAGACCCGCATTTCCAGTGTGACTGGTGAATATTCTGTCACAGAAACCATTGACGCATCTATCCTTAAAGAAAATACATGAAACTCAGTTTTACACTGCCATTGTTAGCGAAAACTGATTTCACCCTTAAATACAGATTTTAGATCGATTTCCCCAGACTTATTTAAATTTATATTCGTCAAAATAAATAAAGTAGAATATTGCTACGCGAAGTTATTGATCTTTGAGGACTGCTAATGAAAAGTGGAAGATACTAACTTCTACCTGGCTCAATTTCTGAGAGATTTCAATCTGTTTATTTCTCCTAAACTTAAACCTTTGGCGCAACTTATTAGTATGAAATAAATTACTTTTGGAGGTCATATTTTGAGAAAGAAACAGATGCAGAACAAAGAATAACAAGTCATTGTGCGAAAACTTAGTAACCTAGAACAGATTTTCTCTAGGAGGTACACAGTTGAAGAGTATCCATAAAATAAAGGGAACTCGTATTTTCCTGCAAATATGTTCGTTCTTTCTTCATTCAAACTAATCAAAGGAACCGATTGCATGAAACAGTAATATTATTCTATACTTTAACTGACAACGGTTGGCAGTGGTGCACAAATTAACAGAATTTAAAATTCCCTGGTCATTGAATTCCAACACGGTGGCTGAATGAATTGGGACAAAATAACAATTCGGTACACCTTGACTCTAAATGACTCTCTGCATTGAAATCAATCAAAACATATCAAAACACTGAGAATCTGAGAACTGAATCAGCTCCAAGAGTAGTGTAATCTCCAGCTGTTACTAAATCGAGAAATATACACATTAGATCGTAGGAAATATTAAAGAGACGGTTGCTATGATGAAAATTCTCTCTTAGACGAAGTCATCAACTAGGATGCACATTCGTGTATTTATAGTAAGTGTGTGAGAAAGTTCCAGAATTATTTCCGGTCAAAGGTCAAATTAATAAAATTAAAAAGTTTAATAAACAGTAAGATTGGATAGAAAAAATGTAGTAATATCATAATTATTGAGAAACTTGACTGTTTGTGCATTTAAGGATTATAAAAGTAATAATAACAAAGTGGACAGGAGGTTCAGATTAAAAAACAGTCATGCAAGTAAGAATTTAAAAATAAAGCAAAATTTAGAAAAATAAGCAGGGAAATTGTTTAAGAAAGGCTATAGGATAACCACTACTGATAGGACTGACTTTCTATGATAGCTATGTTAGAGACAACGGTTGGACGCATTTCTTTTAAACACAAAGCGTGAGCTGGAACTTTGGGATCACTAGTGCCTCAGCTATTTGCAAATGCCTTGATTCACTTTTTAAGGTTTGATCAAACCTTGTATAAGACTTGGAAAGACTTTTCAAATAGAGCCGAAAGACCTGAACTCACAAGATGTTCTGTTGACGAACTATATACATATACGCGTTTTGCAAGCGGAAGCTTGGTACGGACAATATGCTCAACTCCACACGAACGAGTGAGCTGTTATATGCATATTGAACCGCCTAGTATACCTTGACTTTCACAGGCTGATTGGAAAGTTTTACATGAAATTCACTTAGCTAGCGGTGGAGTACATTTACTGAGAGATTTCGAAAGCTATTTATGGAGAATTTCTGCTTCAGTATCGCTTTTAACTTCAAGATTAGGCATCAGCAAGGTTCCTCGGAGGTTTCACAATTCTTCATCACTTGATCCCTAAATGCACAAACAGTCAAGTTTCTCAATAATTATGATATTACTACATTTTTTCTATCCAATCTTACTGTTTATTAAACTTTTTAATTTTATTAATTTGACCTTTGACCGGAAATAATTCTGGAACTTTCTCACACACTTACTATAAATACACGAATGTGCAGCCTAGTTGATGACTTCTTCTAAGAGAGAATTTTCATCATAGCAACTGTCTCTTTAATATTTCCTATGAACTTCTGTTAACTTAATGAAACATTAAGAAACGCCGAACAGGGTGCTGGTCTATATTTTGGACTACTAAACAGTGCACACTCAAAGCACAGTGACACACGAGTATTACGATGACTGTTTTTTACCATTCAAAAACTTAGCGTTGGTAGCGGCTAGCAGAGGAATATTAGACGCACATTTCGCCCAATCTGGAACTCATCTACTGGACGAAACTACATTGCCATTTAGCAATGTTATTCCCATTCAGACTCAGACTTACCGACTATCGTTTCCAGTGATATGGCGTTATTTTTTAGGCTACTGAGTCTCACTGGGAAAAAGTGTCTTACACTTGCGATGCAGCTAAGTCCAGTTCATGGGTCAGGAACAGTAGGAGACACGTGTCCAGGATTCCACTGTTAGCCCCTACCATCTCAAGGCATCGTTAAAAGCATTTACACACTAGTAACCAACATGCTTACATTGTTTAATCATTCCATTCCGATTACATATATACAGAGTAACTTAAACAAACGCAGCAAATCAGCTGGAAAATGACATCCTTTCCTCACTAATTCATTGAATAACTTTATTATTTGCTATCCTGTTTTATCGATTGTCGACTGTCTGCCTTATCCTCCTCATTCTCTTTAAAAAAATAAATAAATTTGTACTTTCATTCTTATCTTTTGATAGCCAATCAAAAATAAAACTGAATCAAGGATGATGCTATAGATTAGTTATTCTGTTACGTTATCATCATTTATCGAACAAGTACTAGGTGGGTAAAGGGAATTTTTCTTTTATCGCAATTCACTATCAGTTAGACAGTCATGCGAAAATCACAAGCGTGTGATGAGAATATAGTTAGGCATTGTGTATTTCTTCATAAACTTGATCAACAAGTAGAGAAACATCTTCATACACTTTCCCCTGACACCTCTCAGCACTGATTAAATTGATTGAAGGTAAGAACAACAAAGTGGTACAGGAAAATATTATAAATCTGTTAGAAAAATGTCTAGATTTGCTAACTTCCCAGCGAATCTTTATCTGTCTTTCAGATAGTGTATTTTCAGCGTTTCACTAATTGGTTTGATCTGTTAAGATAAGCGGCGGGCGAATTTATGGAATGATTAAGTAACCATAGATAATAAAGTAAATGCATCTGCGCCAACTATTGACAAATATTTTCATCCACATCACCAGTTGTCTCCAGCATTAATTGGTTTTTACCATTCCGACGACTCCAACCAGTCAGGAAGTCTACACCTCACTACGTGGTTGACTTAAACTAACTGCCATGGATTTTATTGATTGATGAAGGCATGTTTTGGTTTGACAACCACTGGCTCTTTTCCAAGCTGATCCATCCTATGTCAGCTAACATTGACCATCGGTAGAGGAAGGTATACGTAACACATGTCCTAACCATCTCAGTCGATGTAGCTTCACAGCCTCGTCGATTGATTTCCCCTCCTCACCTACCTAGCACTCGACCGATGCCTCACTTCAATATTGCTCACCGTATTCTGCCACCAAACACACACGGGAGATAGAACGCAGACACCTATGATCAAAGACAGCTAGCTGGGCTTTTCATGTCTTCCACTTTCAATGGCCAGGCCTCACAGTCATGCAAGAGGACAGAGCGGACTGCTGAGCAGCGCACACGCCCTTTGTTCGATAACCAGCGAAATGTCACGTTTACACCAGACATGACGCAAGTTGGCGGATTCCAAATGAGCCTTCTGTATTCGTGCTGAGATTTCTTCAGTGATAAAACCGTTTGGGCTGATACAGCTCAACAAATAAGTGAAGTGGTTAACACGCTCCACCACTTCACTCCCTATCCTTAACCTGGGAGTCAATGTAGTCCAGTTCAGTCCAGTAGCATCATCGAAAATTTGGAAGGAGCGAATCGCATACCGAACGCTCGAAAATTTTTGCTGTTATCTATTAGCTTCATCATCTTCAAAAGTGCATACAGTATCTTTGTAGTAGTGTTTTTCTCTGCTTTCTAAGTCACATCCGTCTTCCTACTGTCAACTAAAAATCGTGACCCAAAATAATCCACAGTTAACTCGTACATATTCATTTCTGTTCATTTTACATAATAACAATAATAATAATTAAATCTACCAGTGTGGCTAATTGAAGGTGTAGTAAGAACCATCAACAGTTCGACATTAGACCACCTGGTCTAAACCGGTCACAAAGCCAGCATTGAAGAATGTTTCACTATCATCTACCGGGTGGCAAACAAATTGCCAAAAAATATCCAGGTATCACACACTCCCAACAGCAGAGGCTATCGCCATTCGCATGAAACAACCGGTGTTCTGTATGCAAAAGAAGCAAGTCTAGCTAGCCACTACTACTGTCCTGGCCGACTTTCATCAGAGACTATAAATTCATGAATTTGTATTATTATCTTTCCTAATTTTTCTGATATTCAGTGTTTATTGTTATGTTGATGTTATCGAACTGTAATCCACTAATATTATTTTAATTGATTTGATGTTATTAAAACAAAACTAATCTTATTAATAATACTAATTCATTCACTATTATGGATGGATATATAACTGTAGAACTTGATGAAGAACAGGTCATCGAAAAGAATATTCTTTGTTCATTAATCATTCTTTTGAAATTTTTTAATTGGCTGTTATACAGACAACTCGAACAATACATACTTCCAAAAATAACAATAAGGAATTCACCAATGATGAAATTTTACCCCAGCAGCTGAGTGATCTATAGGCTTGCTTCACTGCCATCCTCCGTAGGGTCATTCATTCTCTATATGGAAGAGTTTCGAACTAGGACAAAACAGCTGGACAGTGTAACTTTCTGGTTTTCAGTTGGCGACTTAACTAGAAATAGTAATTAAATCCCTGAAAGTCAGCACTCAAAATGGAACCTACTGTTCACTAATTACAGACTGCAGGATCTTGCTACCTAGAGTTATTATGAGATGATGTGACCTGTACGGTTCGCCAAGTCGGTTGTCCGGATAAATACTTGTCGATGACTATGATTTGTAGTGTTCCTATACACTGCGGACTGGTAGAAGTTAGAATTCATGAGTCATTAAACCCAGTTCCAGTAACTTAATGATCAACAAGCCCACTTTGTAACATGAAGGTCTTCGACTCTACTACTCGGTAGGGTCATGTGTGCACACCGCTGATAAGTCCCTTAATAGTACAAAGCACAGCCCTTCAGTATCAGTTTCTGGTTTTCACTGGTTCTCTAACTGATGTCAGCTCATAATCTAACTAGAAAAACATGAATCAAATCCCTGTGACCTAACACTTAAAAATAACGATACTACTGCATGTATATTAATAATTTTCTTTTTCATAATGTTCAACTTACAAGCAATTTTCTCTGCACACTTTAATCTTTCACTGTCGTGTTGGGCTTTTTCTGAATTGATTTTGGATTGAATTTCATTTGCTTTTTCTTGATTCGTTTTACTTTCTTCGTCTAATCGAATTTTCTATTGAAAAACAAACAGCATATATATATGTATATATATAACTAGTCTAAGCTAAATAAAAAAATAGTGAGTGCAGTGCTGGTGATTCAGTCGTATGATACTCGCCACTCACATCCAACGCTCTTCTGAACCTCGATTAGTTTACTGGCAGATTGCATGTATGGGAAATATGGAAGGTCGGATTCGACTTGAGAAACCTCATCCTGGAAACGCAACCCAGCCGCTATTGAAATTTCGAAGCTTGAAGCCAAATATTACACTCTGAACACAAAGGAATGAGAAATATCAGTGTCTCAAGTTGCAGTACAATTAAAGCTGAAGATGTCAAAATCCTAAGCCCCGGGTATTAAAAGGAGAGCTAAAAGAGATAACTACCAGCTAGGTCATTATATCTTTGCAGTCGTTACGCATAATGCGCAGTCACCAAGTGAATGAAAAACAGATATGTAACTGTGTTGCTTTATGAATACTTTCATTTGATGAATTGTAGTAGTCAGTAAGAGTTATTTCTGGGAATCTAGAATAATCAGACAAGATTCTTCTGGACGTGTGGTGAGAGATGGCTGCTAGCCAAATTGGTATACAGTAATTGACGTCAATGTTTATGTCTCAAATATTAGTCATGTGAAAACAATATCAAAGATGCACAGCTGACTTTGCGTAGGGGGATACAGTTAACAAATAGATGATCTGACATTCAAGATACAGTCACAAAGCCATGAAAGATTAACTCTTAGTGAGAAACAAACACAAATCAGAAGACTGTGTTTATCTGCTAACAATAATCTATAATAATGTACACGAAAATCTATAAATAAGTTTTGATTTCATTAATAAACGATCTGTTGCCTGACTCTTGCCTTCTGTCGTTAAAGAAGCACTCTCAACTGATCCCCAGACCACAGTTGATTTGCTGATGACTTTACTGCAGAAAGTGTGGAAAGAAGGAAAAGTATCACTAGATTGGAAGAAACGCCAAACTGACATACTGCCGAATAAGTGTGACTTCAGCCTTTGCAACAAATGGCGTGGAAGCATGCTCCTGTCATCGCCGAGCTAAATATTAAGTCGCATCATCCAAGACGAACTAAACATGTTCAAAATACACAACTTCACCCGGAACAAGTTAGATTCAAGAATAGCAATACACGTATGAGCCTCATCAACAAACCGAGCATAGAATAGTAGGAAAGCCAACCAGAATCAATGCCACCGGTGTACCTAATCCACATCCCACCACACATTCGAAAAGTAATCATCATTCTTCATGAGATTGTTTCTTCTCCTCCACAATTTTACTCAATGTAGGTTTCACCTACAACCATGTGTGATTCTCTGAAGTATTCCAGCTTACTACCATATTATTACACACTGACAACTAATTTCACTTCAACTCAACCGTGAAAAAACACCACTCGCGAAATAACTTTTCTTCATTTTCCGTAAACATAACGTCATTAATTCCTAACACAGTGTGAAATATTTATCCCATCTATCTAACAATCTTTTGCCAATCCTCACGCCCTATCTCTCTCTCTCTCTCTGCATCTCTATCTTCATCCCACCCTCCTTAAGATTGTGCACAAAATTCCACCTTCTAGTCTACAAATACACAGATATCGACCTAACGTGATGATTATTCAGATTTCCATGTTCAGCACAAGTGGATGAATAATGTTGATGTGCTTGTGTTGTATGTGTGTATGTGTGTGTGCAACTATGCAGGCATGAATGTATGGATGTATGTATGAACGAATGAATTCATTCAATGCATGAAAACAAAATACGAAGAAGTGGAAGGAGAAAGGAAAACCGATTCCCTACTGTAACAACAGTAAATAACGAGTAAATGAAATTGATATGAATAGGACTGGAAAAACTATTAAGAGCAGATTTGAAAGCCTTTTATTCACATACACACACACATAAAGATTATTTTTTCCACTAGTAAAACTTCTATGATGACATTGTTGCATCTCAGTATCCAAGTGGTAGTTTGAAAGCATACGATTGATCTTTCCAGTAAGATCACAAACTGACACCAGTTGTAGAATGATTGAAAATCAAAGGAGAGTATTGGATGGTTGTGCTTTGCCGTAGATCAGAACCCTTCAACAAAACGCAGTCATCACAACACCGACAACGGAACCTCAGACCTTCATATTACGTGCATTATGTGAAGTCAAAATAGTGTGAGAAGAGAGGAATACGCTAGACCGACAAGAAGATTCTAGGTGATCTCGACTTCTCTGGTGATTTATGTCTAATGCCACTCAACGTCGAAGATTTGAAGGCGATGATCAACAAGTTGTCAGAAACACTCACCGACGAACATACAGAAGACAGAGGTGATGAGGGTGAACAACCGACAACAACAACAACAGCACCAATCACTACCAACAGGAGAAATTCCATGGGAGTCATATCTTTCAATCATCTAGGAAACATCGTTACAACTACAGACGGAACGGATCAGGATGCAGCAATCAGCATTGGAATGGCAAGACAGATTCTTATCACTTCAAAGTCGGTGTGGAAATCGTCTGAACTCAAAACAGAAAAGAAAATTCCGATTTCGAACACTACTTATGTCAGAACAATCAGCTCTTCTACAGGGTTCACAAACTCAGAGATTGGGAATCAGATAGTTATGCGTTTGAATGTTGCATGGAAGAGACTATGTGAGGAGGAGATTAGAGACTTTGGACAATCGTGTAGGCATCTAAATATGACTTTAAAGAACGGAATAATGCTGAGATGTGCTGTTGAAGCCTTATGTTCCACTTGGAATCTAAGGGGGTGATAATAAATAAGGAATAAAATAGTGTTCACTAGTTAGTGAATATACGATAGAGGTGCCTGGAGTTCTAATTAAAAGTCGTGACCAAATCAGATTGTTTGCCGTGACAGATATTGGTCTATCACATTGACTGGCGGTGTTGCTATTTGTGGTAGATTGACAGAAATTAGAATTCACGGGCTATTAAACCGCATGTTCAGTGGTTGGGTGATCAGCGTGAAAAGTCGTATCCAACTTTTTATCAACAAAGAAATGAAACTAGTGTGAATCAGACTCAAAAAAAAACTACAAAACAGATTTTCAAACAATTCGAAGCAGAATATCTCACACAAATGGACACAGAACAAAAGATCGAGTCATAAAAAGCAGGCAAGATTAGCATCATCTACAAAGTAAAACGACATATATATATATTCATTCATATCAACGCATATGGACAGCGGTGAACACCAACTTAACCGGGGAAAGTGTATATAATTTTAAACAGCGGAAATACAATTCCTAGGAATCTTATGATCGGGTTAATCTTCACTTGATTGACAAGTTGACATATTGTTGACAAATTTACCAACCCATAATGAAGAACATTTCACGTGGGAAAATTGTCAAAAAAGGTCAAGGTCCATGTCAATGAAACGATCGATACCAATACTAATTAACAGTCATTCACAGCAAAAGTTATCAGAAGCGACAGTTATATTATTCAGAAAATATTTCCAAAATGAAACTCGCTTGATTTCAAAGTCTACGTTTGTCTAAATGGAAAATAAATGCTTAGCAATTAAACTGCCCAACTCATAAAACATAATCACATCGGTGGCATAGCGGTTAGGACGCTCGCCGACCATGCACATGGTCCGGGGTTCGATCCCCGGCCGACGCACTCCTTTACCTCGCTAAGCCAGAATTAATGCTGGTGAAGAGGGAAGGTTGGGCATGATGCAAGCAACCCCATCCTATAAAATAAACACTGCTACAGAAACTTCAAGCCACTAGCTTGAAGCCTTATGTTCCACTGGGGAACGTGAAGGAAAAAAAACAACATCAAAAACAATCATCGTAGCTACAAATCTTCTCGACTATTTCAATATTTCGAAGTATTTTTTTCATACTTGAAGGGATTTCTTTTTGGTGGCATTATTGCATTTCGGTGTCTTTTTTCATTTCCAGCATTGTTACACTTCATCAAAATGTCAATTTCAGATACAGAGAAAAAAGCAATACAATGGAAATGCAACTGATTAAAATTTACCCTGGAAAGAATAATAAAGGTTTTCAGAATCTGGAAGACAATAAAGAGTGAATGTGCCTGTGTTGTCTGGTCCATGTTACTAACAGTCTCAAGCTTTTGCTGCTTAGCGTCTCAGGGATCCTAACTAGCCAATGTACACCTCTTTGCAACGTTGGCTTCCACCAAAAATTCCAAGACTTCTTGGAGTGCCCCCGTGTTTTTTTGTTTGACCATCACTAACTTTTCTCCAACTTTATTCTTTGCTAGATAAAATTAGTCAACGAGGAAGGTGGTGGCTTGATATATGTAACATCTGTCGTTGCCATCTCAAAAGCCATCTATTGAGTGTAACAAAAAAAATTGTCCAACAATGTTACTACTGTTGTGGCATGATACAAACAATGTGTGCTAACGGAATATTATTCTCACATGTTCCCACAGTTCAATTCGACATTAACAACAGAATACGAGGTATCTATTTGAACATTCTATTTGATGTTAGAGACAGAATACTTTTCCCACGGTTGTATACTGCATTAACAACAAAACACTATGCATATTTGAACATTCTATTTCATGTTGTTTAATGTAAACCGAAATCACACACGCAATGATTGGTTAGAGAATATAAAACTGTATACACATAAACAGCGGTTTCATTAATGAGAAATATACCTTGACTCCCGTTGTCTTGCTTCTGTTGTTACACTACTACTCACCTCTTTATCTAAGAACAAAAGTTTGCTTTTCGCTTCATTAATTCTACGATGATATTTACGTACGCATAAACTTTGTTCATCATTGAAACTTGCTATCTGTCTGTGAAGTTTACGTTGTGTCCGTTGTACTTGAACTCTGTATTCAGAAAAAGAAGAGCATTAAAAAAAACATGTTTTTTTTCTGTTCGTTGTTGTTTTGTTCCAAACAAGAAAGATAATAAAGATAAATTTATTGCTTGGTTGATGATGGCTAGCAGTGGAATCCAGAAGACACTTTTCGTCCTATTTTTGGCTCCTCAATTGGATGTTTCTGCATACCCAATGAATGTTGGAGTTCCCAATGTTACTTAAGCACTAAAAAATCATCCACTGATCTGGTGAGCTATCATACCCATTTTATGTGTAACTGGTGATAAAATACTTCCAACAAATACGCTTGTTTCATACATGTATCCCCTCTTCATGAATTGGAATAAAATCCAGTAATAACAATTGGAGCGAGATAAAGTGGATTCACTTTATTTAATCGGCTTCCTCTCAGTCGATTTCTTACAACCTGAATAATGAAAGTTAATATTTTTATTGCAATTCCAGTACACGTTAGTTTATCGGTGGAACAAATGTTGAACATCACTGTATGTATGCATGAATCGAAATATTAAGTTTATGAAGTATAAGGAATAGCTGCAATCATATGTGCTACGCAACAGCAATCTTTCTTAAGGCGGTTTTGGTTTCTTGGGCGGGTGGTTTAACTACCAAGTTTTCACTGTCTTTCTAGATAACTTCTTCAATGCAGATGTCATGAGAAGCTGAAGGGATGGGCGTGGGTGATATGCAGAAGGTCATGTCAAGAGGAAATGAAGCCTTATAGGTAGTCATGAAACCAGATGAAAGTGATGGCAGACACGGAGTCGAATGACACGGAGGTGTTATGTTCTAGTCGAAATTCAAGTGACAAATATGACAACTATATTAATACTAATAGCAGTAGAATAATTAACTAGGAATTCAATATAACGACACTCAGTGTGACCTTACCTCTCCTTCTGTTCATTCGCCAAATGACCTTTCATGGTTTCCGCCTGTTGTTTTAAATTATCTATCAAACATCTGAAAATGTTCGTTTTTTGTGTAAATCAAAAATCATAAGCATTAAAATTTAGCATGTGGGTAAATGGAAGAAGTCGAAAACTTAATCGCCTAGATGACGGTTACAAATACAATAGTGCTCAAAAAAATTGATTTCTACTGCTTATTACATCTAAGCAATAAGCTTAGCGGGGTTCGCAGCTGCCCAGAAGATCGGCCTAAAACCATTTACCATTAATTCGAAATGTGCACTGAAGTGGTATGTCTCCTAGACTGGTGATCATACTGGAAAGTGAATTCAGTCAGCACCTATACTATGGACTAGACACACGGAACATTGATTACTCCTCACTTGTCAGTTAGTATAGATCATTCTCTAAAGGTCTATGTTTCGCGCTTGTTGGTACATGTTAGTAAGGAATACCTGCAGTCATGAAGGAGCTGATGTCCTCTCTGAGATTTGCACCCGTGTCAGTCAATGCTACAGTCAGAGACATAACAACTCAAGTATTCGCGATAACTCTAATATTAAATCCCTTTATATGATTTGATTTTCTTGTTAATCTTCCCTAATTTTCATAATATCAGGGCTAAGTGCAGATTCATTTCGATAACATGTGTTCGGTGTTAATTCGAAGAACTAAGATTCTGTGATCAGTCACTTTCTTCACCTACTTATACTACTGCCGATAGCACTTTATTGTATGGTTACATGCAAGTGTTTTTATTTCAGTGGCCGAGGTCATTTCTAGATTATTTAACATAGCATAGCTCTAGCTGAATTCCAAAGCTTGCATAACCACAACTATCCCTATCTACTAGTTTGACCAATGTAACCCAACCCACAGTCATTACATGGTATTTTGTGAATTATATTTTTTTGTTTGATTAGGTATACTGGATCCCTAGCCCAAAGAAGTTTATCTCTGAATGAGTTGTTTACCTTAAATGCCCCATCTAATTCGTGACTCCCTAATTATTATTATTACTACTGAATTAATTAAAGTTAGTACCACCGAGAACTTGGAATCATAATTATTTATTATAATATTCATTATTACCCGTGAATTATCGGTGTAAAAGGCCATGATGATTGAATATGGTGAAGTACAAATCCGCCTCATAGCAGGGTTAATTAGTCAGTGGACAGTTCTACTAATCCATCATTCTAGCTACAAGGAGCCACAAGACTCAACTTTCTACCAGCAAGATCATAATTTCACCGCGGTTATCATGGTTAAATTCAGGACAACAACGAAAATAACAAATAATAGAATCAATAAAGAAAGTTGATTGTGCAAACCTGCTTGATAAGTTTAAATTTTTAGTCTTTTCAACCATTTCATCAATTTGTTCCTGAAGTTGAGCTGTTGCCTCCGCTTTCGCCATATACTCATTCTCGATTTTCATTACCCTTCAAAAAGATTTTTTTCAAAACAAAAGAAAATTTAAAACAAAATTGAGCAAAGTAAAGAGTGCATACGAAAAAATCCCTGTTTCACCCTTTTTTGAAACTGAAATTATGAATCGGTCTGATCAACTCGTTTCAAAAACCAGTGAACTACAGCTTCGAATTCCAACACATATATGAGGGCAAAAAATTAATCCAGTAATGTTATCATAGCAGCTGGTTAGCTTATGAATAAGAATGTCCCAAACTAGGAGGAAACAGCAGTCCATTACTCCCAGGTTTTCCAATGGTTCTGTAACTAATGTCAGCTCATTATGAAATCCTGGAACCAATCAATCAAATCCCTACAAACCAACACTAGAACGTCAGTGATTATAGAGATTCATATAAGAAGGATATATATGATAAAATAAAAGAAGCATTGTTATTGTTATTTATATTTATCCCTAAGGCTCCCAAGGTAAAATGAGACCCCTATTAAAAACGGCTAACTACGACTTTTAGAATCTTTTATACCTCTTTTGCATGCTCTCATTCAGACTAACAATCACAGCTTGCCTCGAGTGTGATATCACTCAACGGTCTCCTCAGCGTGTGTTCCATCCAACTCCATTTTCGTCGAGGCATTTGTTGACCAAGAGGTTGTCGGTCGATTCTCCTTGGTAATACTTTCTGGACGACCATATGATCATGAGTCTGGAGATGGCGAAGACACGTGTTGAAAAGCGTCAGCACAAGACTGCTGAAAATGCTTTCTGTACCACGCCAACTTTGTGAACCATGTAGAAGAGCTGATTGTTCTGACATAAGTAGTGTTCGAAATCGGAATTTTATTTTCTGTTTTGAGTTCAGACGATTTCCACACCGACTTCGGAGTGATGAGAGTCTGTCTTGTCATTCCGACGCTGATTGTTGCATCCTGATCCGTTCCGTCTGTAGTTGTAACGATGTTTCCTAGATGATTGAAAGATATGACTCCATGGAATTTCTCCTGTTGGTAGTGATTGGTGCTGTTGTTGTTGTTGTTGTCGTCGGTTGTTCACCCTCATCACCTCTGTCTTCTCTATGTTCGTCGGTGAGTGTTTCTGACAACTTGTTGATCATCGCCTTCAAATCTTCGACGTTGAGTGGCATTAGACATAAATCACCAGAGAAGTCGAGATCACCTAGAATCTTCTTATCGCTCTAGCGTATTTCTCTCTTCACACACTATTTTGACTTCACATAATGCACGTAATATGAAGGTCTGACATTCCGTCGTCATTCTTGTGATGACTGAGTTTTGTTGAAGGGTTCTGATATACGGCAAAGCACAACCATCCAATACTCTCCTTTGATTTTCAATCATTCTACAACTGGTGTCAGTTTGTGATCTTACTGGTAAGATCAATCGTATGCTTTCAAACTACCACTTGGATACTGAGATGCAACAATGTCATCATAGAAGTGTTTCTAATGGAAAAAATAATTTGTGTGTATGTGAATAAAAGGCTTTCATATCTGCACTTAATAGTTTTTCCAGTTCTATTCATATCAATTTCATTTATTCGTTATTTACTGTTGTTACAGTAGGGAATCGGTTTTCCTTTCTCCTTCCACTTCTTCGTATTTTGTTTTCATGCATTGAATGAATTCATTCGTTCATACATACCTCCATCCATTCATGCCTGCATAGTTGCACACACACATACACACATACAACACAAGCACATCAACATTATTCATCCACTTGTGCTGAACATGGAAATCTGAATAATCATCACGTTAGGTCGATATCTGTGTATTTGTAGACTAGAAGGTGGAATTTTGTGCACAATCTTAAGGAGGGTGGGATGAAGATAGAGATGCAGAGAGAGAGAGAGATAGGGCGTGAGGATTGGCAAAAGATTGTTAGATAGATGGGATAAATATTTCACACTGTGTTAGGAATTAATGACGTTATGTTTACGGAAAATGAAGAAAAGTTATTTCGCGAGTGGGGTTTTTTCATAGTTGAGTTGAAGCGAATTTAGTTGTCAGTGTGTAATAATATGGTAGTAAGCTAGAATACTTCAGAGAATCACACATGGCGATAGGTGAAACCTAGAGTGAGCAAAAGTGTGGGGGAGAATAAACAATCTCATGAAGAATGATGATTACTTTTCGAATGTGTGGTCGGATGTGGATTAGGTACACCGGTGGCATTGATTCTGCTTGCCTTTCCTGCTATTCTATGCTCCGTTTGTTGATGAGGCTTATACATGTATTGATATTCTTGAATCTGACTTGTTCCAGGTGAAGTTTTGTATTTTGAACATGTTTAGTTCGTCTTGGATGATGCGACTTAATATTTGGCTCGGCGTGGACAGGAGCATGCTTCCACGCCATTTGTTGCAATGGCTGAAGTCACACTCATTCGTCAATTTGGCAGTTTGTCGTTTCTTCCAATCCAGTGGTACTTTTCTTTCATTCCACACTTTCTACAGTAAAGTCATCAGCAACTCAACTGCGTTCTCGGTATTAGTAAGAGTGCTTCCAGAAGAATCCTGTATGGTTATTCTAGATTCCTAGCTGGTTTTCAGTAACTTTTTGGCATTCAAGATTCCTGTTTTTGTTGAGCGATTCGTGGTCACTCGCAGTTTTGTGGCTGGACGAGTTGTAGTTGGTGATCTGTTTAAGAGTTCTTTAAAGTGGCCAGCCTATTTTTCTCTTTGTTTCTTCTCTTGTGTAAATAAGTTTTCTTCACTCTTCCTTTCTAAGACAACTGAACACTTTTCCTTCACAGTCAATTTCAGAGAGTTTCAGTGTCCTTCCACACAGGTTTCCTCAGTGATGCTACATAGTGTTTCAGACTCTGCTCTGAATTTTGCAGTGGGAGTGTCCTTTGTTGAACATACATTGTAGCCTCTGTGAGAGCTTTCAACTTGACTTTGTAGGACTTGTGCACTAGAATAAAAGTTAAGAGGCTACAATTTCAAGCTGTGTACTTCTAAATGCTTATGAGTAAAGTATTTTGTTCAAGTTTATCAACACTTATCAGCAGAGATTATTACATATCTGCCTGAATATCAAAGTCAGAAGTTACATCTTCTCCAGAAGGAAGCAAGTGTGCCTAGGAGTTCTTCAATCAGCTGAATGTCAATGAATTTCATTTTCGCACTACATGATCTAACAACGAAATAAGAATAATATCTCCACGAAACTCAGTTAATGCTAAGTCTCACAGAAGCATTTATTGTTATTATTTTCTCTGAAATGAGTAGTTTAACAGAGGTGCTTTCATTGTCCTTCCAGATAATGTCTTTAGTGCTAACTTATTGGGACAGAATTGATTTATATTGGTAGTTATCCTCACGTCGCTCTAATTGCCCACTTTTTGGTTTATACCACTGACTGATTAGTATGCGTAGTTGGAAACTACTCACATTAACTAGTAGTAATTGTTAGCCCGATTGAAGTGATCTAAACATTGGACGAACTTTTGGCCCTACCTCATTAGCGGTTCACCAGATTTTGTTCAGCTAATAGAACTTAACCAACTGAAACCAGCCATTGATGAGATCGGCCCCAAATGAGCGTAACGGACGTCACCTCGATCGACCTGGCTAGCAAGCACTGCTGGTTGATATCAGAAGTGTGCAACAACTGATCTCCCTAGATCAGTAGTATATATATTTCCATGGAAATATGTCTACTTTCTTCATAAACACTTTATGATATCAAGCAGACAGCATACTGTACGTGATCTGAATAATTTGGTTTCCAAAGGAAACTGTCATGAGATTTCACTTATACAAACTGAGTAAATTGCAAAAGTTGCTGATTTAATCTGTGAATCTTTAATAATAGGATTCAACCTTTTGATGGCGTGAATTATCGTTTATTTATTGTGGAAATACGGAGAATACCATAGAATTCCTAGAAACTCGGTACTCAGATGAATGTCCACTTAAGAGGAAAATGAGTCAAGAATAAGGTACACGATAAAAAAGTCAACAAGACAATCAGTTCCAATACAGGTGAACATAGTGATAAGAAAATCTCAGGAGACAAACAGTCATATTCAAGATCAGCAGGAAGGATGGAAACTTCCTCAAATGAAAATCCAGAAAGCTTGAATCGTATAGACGTTGACAGGGGATATTTCTTCTCCACAAGGAGAATGAAAGTTTTACAACCTAAAACTTCTAGTTCTGAGGAAATAACACCACCACCACCACCAAAATACTAATACGAACTGATTTGAAATTCTGCCAAAAAGTGGCACATCAGCTAGAGAACCATTGGAAACCAAGGGGCGCTGGATAGCTGCTTCTTCCTTGTCCAGAACTCTTCGGTAGCATGAACCCATGACCATGGCTGAGGGTGCATCCCTAACCTTCAGGTTACGACTCCAGTCCACTGACGATTCAACCAGTGGGACAAAAGTCTTCAGTTCACGACACAGATAGTACAACCACCAGTCATTGACACTGTTGAATATTTGTCCACACACCCCTAGCTTCAAAACCAAAACTACCCAGCTCAGAGAACACAACCACATCAAAAACTGAACTATAAATCTTCTCTATCATGTCAAAGCTACAAAATCTTTATAAAACAGTGAAGCAATGGAAGAATTTCTACACTTTAACTACGCATTAAAGACAAAATGTATTTACATAGTTTTATTTTACGATATTGATCAATCTGTTTAAATATTTTCTCTTCTTATTTGTGTAGAAAAGAACAGAACGTCGTACAGATACATTTTATTGATTGATCAGATTATTTTTGGATTCTAAAATGTGAGAGATCTGAGGAATGGTGAAAATAATAGAGAAGATTTTCTAGCTCAATTAGATGTTTTTCATGTGGTTGTCTTCTATGAAGTATATTGGTTTAACCGCCATCCTCTCACTACCTTTCTAGACAGTATCGTTTCAGAGCTTACCGTGATTGGCTGAAACGATGGATACAAATACAAATTAACAATTAATCAAAGCCAAGGTTGTATAATTCAGTTCACATTGAAGCAAGCGCTGAAACACTGTTGCCTGGATAGACAGCAGAAGCTATACGATTCAGCTACCCAGCTAAGAGAATGATGATCACATTTTGTTTGTTCATGTTATCATTGGATTCCGCTCAATCAATAATAGAAAAATTAAAACTTCTCTACCACAGGTGAAATTTACTGAAAACAAGCTAACATTTTACCTAAAGACTATTGATTGTCATTAAAAAAGAATCCTATTAGCTATCAAAGTATCTTTCTTCCAGTGATACTGCAGTCAACATCTATACAAATGAATTTGAATGTGATTAGTTTTTTTCATTTACTTTGTTTAACAGCTACCCTCTCTCTTCCCAAACTGAAGATCAGATAGTTGTGCAGAAAGGATGAGCACGAAGTAAGTCTGAAAGCGAACCAACCGAGAGAATCGCTTGTCTAACCAAGAAGTGTGCTGAGTTTTATTGAAGTGGATGCACTGGGGATACGATGAGGGGATCTTCAAATGACATGAGCGAAATCTTAATGAGAAGTGATCATTTGGGACTAAGTCTTAAGGTGACATGGAGGAGATTATGTGAAGTGGAAATGAAAGCATGTTGGTAGTCGGGGAGTCAGTTGCAAGTGCTGAGCAAGTCCACTCCTAGAACTTTAGATACTATGACAGTAAGGCTGATCCACATGTGATTGTCCCAGCAAGCATCGTCTTCCCCCCCCCTCCCTATAAACTGGGGAAACCAGAGTTCTACACCAATCCAACAAGACTGTCTCTGACAATTAAACATTGCCCAATATCTCATTTGACCCAGAAAACAGTTTATTACTACTGTTCCTAAACACGTTTGAATACATTCTGTCAGGTCTCAATATTTCACTCATAAAGAATCAGTCGCAGTATCTGAGAGTATCTACGAAAAAATCAATCAAGAAAAAAACAGTACATTCCACTGGTAAGCAGAATAACCAAATGACTGAAGTCATTCCATACAAAATGTGATAATTTTACAAACACATTTATAGGAAAACTAAACAAATACAAAAAAAATTAGATGGGGAGCGAAATGCCACCTAGTGGAAGTTAATGCCTAGAACAAGTTGCAGCAAAAGTCAACACAAGCCTCATCCAGCACAAAACTTTGCTTTTAATTCCGTTTTCTAAGGTTGTTACTTTTCTGATAATTAACTGTTCAGTATGTCTAATAGATAACATCAAAGTTCAAAATGAAATGGTCGAAATAAAAATAAGCATATCCAGACAATCTAATTCTCACAAAAAGAGGCAGCTGAAATTAACATACCACCAGTGGTCTCCAGGTATTGTTTTTCCGTGTCTCAAGGATCTCAGTCTAGAAGTCTTTTCGTCGCTACATGGCTAACTCAAACCAGCAGCCATGTTATAATCTACGTATCCCTAAACTGATCCTATGTCAGTTAACATTACTTGTGGTGAAAGGAAATCGGAGGTTATGTCAATGGATGAATCTTCATAACTCCAACGATTTAGCTTCCTTCCTTACCCAATACTGTACGCCTAACTTCCATATCATTTCAGTAACCAGTGTAAGTGCTATCCACTCAATGAACACAATCACAATACCTCCACCCGCATTTATTCTCGCCTTTCCAGTCAGTGTTATGCAATCGATATGGGGGAGGAATCCAGCTGACAACATAAGACATGTTACTAAACCAGTTGAAATCATTCAATGCAATATAGTTTAATAGTCTTTTGCAACATTTTCTTATACAACTAGTAACACTTTAATATCAGTAAAACGTTTGAGCATTGTGGATTAGATCACTTTATTTTTATCACGCTCAGACAGAATTCAACAATTTTATCCTTCATTTATGGTGCCTTATTTATCAAAATACAAATTCATATTCTTATTTCAGTAGATTAAACGGTTATTCAGACAAACAGAAAACATTCTGTCACTATGACAACATTATCATTCAGTAATATCTATAAGTAGTTAAGTTATTAGTCAACTAACTAAATAATTAACTGAAATATTTTCTGTTGTCACTGTTTCTAAAAATAAATGTGTTTTTTTTTCTTTAAGACAGTAATACTATTAACTCAGCTGACTTGTTATGTATGATAAGTTAGTTTGCTCCACGCTCTAAATAGTATTCATAAATTAGATAGTTACAGGTAATCGGAAGGAAGCCCAGCCCGACCTAGGTTTAGTGCTAGTTGGTACTCACCAGTCAGTAAGGCGTATCTGCAACCTTGAAGGGACTCATGTCCCTTCTGAGATTCAAACCTGCGTCATCCAGTGTTGCGGTGAGCGACGTTTTTTTTCCTTCACGTTCCCAGTGGAACAATAGGGCTTCAAGCTAGTGGCTTGAAGTTTCTGTAGCAGTGTTTAATTTTTACATGATGGGTTTGCTAGCCTCATGCACAACCTTTCCTTTTTAGCAGCATTAGTTCCGGCTTAGCCGGGTAAAGGAGTGCGTCTGCCGGGGATCGAACCCCTGACCATGTGCATGGTCGGCTAGCGTCCCAACCGCTGTGCCACCGACGCCGATTTCAGCGACGCTACCACTGCCGATTTCCTCCAACTATCTAATATCATCAAATCAATGTGCACTATGATGGCGAGCTACCTAGAATGATGGCTGTATTGCAAATCTGACTGATAGAATTCAGTCTGCACCAAAGAAAGGACTAGATACATCACACCACTTACTAGGGTTCAATCAGAGTATTGATATTTATGAACCATGACAATACTTCCCCAAGCTTAGTTGGCTGTTCATCAAATTTTCAAGTGATGATTTGAGGGTGCGCAGGGTGGGAGAACTCATTCTTTATCAATAAAATCAATCTTCAAAGGCTGCACAATAAACAACCTTTGTATTTACTGAAGACGTAAAGTAGTCTAACACTGAGTATTATGGAAGGGAACATGAGTTGCAGTTATGTCTTGTTAGTAATAAGGCTTACGTCAACCATTCGCTTAGAACTCAGCTATCAGGAACAGATCTGTCAGGCTATTAATGATACTGTAATACAGTTGTTGAAGCTGAATTAGGTGGATTTGGATTCGATCTCAGAACGCACTGATTGGCATTTGGACTCAATAGCCAGTGAACCTCATCTTCACTAGCCTAAGTAAATAACATCCTGCTAACTGGTTTCTTCTCGACAGCGACCATATAGGTTGAGTACATAAGCACTAGTGACAACGATTTTGAGCCATGTTACTGATTTCCTTCATCCAGTGGTTTTGAGTACATTGAGAACACCAGTCAATAGCCTATTTCTCCGTATACGGTCATATTTTTATCTGACCACCCCCAACTGTTTTCCAGTACTCAGTCTTATTTAACTAAAAGCAGAAATATCAAACAGGCGTTTTTATATCTGAGATATGATCCCGCCAACAATCAGCATATCTGAGCTGAACCGGTCTCCAAAATGAGTGAAATGCTGAAGACACTCAGTCGTTGCTCTACTTAAACTAGAATCTACTGAAGGCCAGTCTTGTGGTATTACCTTATATTCATCAGGGGAAAACTACTCATCGTGTTCAGAAAACTGAGCATTTTCTTAGCGTCTTGATCCTGAAGGACCATATATAATCATCTGCAAAAACTAGATCGACGAAACTCTTCACCGCTTTACAAATCAATGCCTAAAACGTATTAGCTAAACGAGTGAATTTAACACATCCTTTATGTGTACAAATGCCGAAGTAACATAATTATACCTACAAACTAACACTGAAGGTATTTGCATACACTTTTTGAGTTCGGAGTGGATTGTAGGACTTCAGCAATAGATCTCCATTCCACTCAGTTCTCTTTCGTCATGTTCAACTGACTTTATGACTGCTAACAAGCATTCATTTTCTCTTCATATCATCAACTCTATGTCACCTTCGGATTCACTCCCGACTTGATGCTACCCCTTCGGGTTTCACCCGCGGGCCAGTGTAGCATCTGGCATCATTCAGCCATCTCTTCAGAGTATGTCAAATCCATCTATCTCTGTCTGCTTCTGCATATTTGTTGGATAATCAGTTTTTAGCTGGTTCTACATCACAGCCACTTGTTAATTATCCTTTCAGGATGACCATATGTTCTTCACTATCGAGACAGAGAAGGCACAGATTGATGGAAGTCAGCATTAGCCTGTTTGAAATGTATGTACATGCATACGATCGCATCAGTTGAATTCGCCACACTTCAGAAAACTATACACAAAATAAAAAGAGTAAAAATGAACAAACATGAACACGAGAGATAAAATAATCAAGATTTAGTCCTGAACCAATATCTGTTACAGGATTGATAGATCTGTTACCTTTATAAATTCGTTCACTGTACAACACAAAAATTATCTCATTCAGAAAGCCATAATTCAATTACCACACGTAACCTAAGATTTTGCAAATTCTGGTTTGACAAAATGCTTTGATAAACCTATCGGCATTGAATGGACAGATGACAGTAAAAGCCTTAATGTTTTTCTATTCAATGAGTAATAAAGAACTTTTGTAGTATACACTTATGTCTTGAGTTACTTAATGTTTTAAAAAGTAGAATAATTTTTTACTATAAAACAATATGCTGCTGAATGATCAACTCGGAAAATTATCGACCACATACCCAGATTCTTTTATCTTAAAAATGCTCTGTAGTTTTTCTTTTTCTGTTTCATAACGCTTTTCATCTAGAATCAAAAATGGATAGAGGAAAAAAGAAGATGTTTTAAGGGTTTGTAGACACTACTGTCAATTATTGTTTTACAGCGATTTGACTGATATTTCCAGTAACATCAGGAAAAGATAACAGTTAAAGCACCAATGAAAACCTCCAGGGAGTACTGAACAGCTGCATCATCCTGTTTTTTGACTCTTTATTAGTACGTGCCCATGGCTGCACCAGATTTATTCCCAGTCACCGAATGGTCAGCGGGCTGGTCTCGAAATGTGAATATCCCAGGTCCGACTTCCGATGCGATTATCGGTGCGCACTACTGACTAGTCCCAAACTAGGGCAAAATGGCCCTCCAGTACTCCCTACTGGTTTTCAGTGTTTCTCAGATGATGAGTCAGTTCGTAATATTACTTGGACACATGATTTAATTGAGCGGCCCCAATAATTCATGATAGCTTATAAACCTACAGGAAATTTCTAGCTGATGTCGGCGAAAGTTCGAGGGTATTAAACGTACAGAAGACACAGTGACTACGCCAGGTGAAGAAAGCAGTTGTATGTATTCAGAGAGACAGTGTTATAACAAACTTCTTATTTCTTTGATAACTGAATGCCTACTTTTTGAATCGGTTGTACAATCTTTAACTGTACCTATTTCTACTTTACAAAATGCACATACCAAGTTCCTTCATAATCTTCTTAAGTATGCAATAACTGTTTTCATTGCGAACTCAGTTTTCTCTTTTCCGTTTACAACTCTTAAATATTCTATTTTGATACACGCATAAACTAATAACGAAATGAATCAGAAATGTTCATGTTTTGCCCTATTGATACACTCAGTTTTAGATTGCCTAAGCAACGATACGTTTCTCTGTTATCATTTCAACATTCAAAGTACGTTATTTTTGTTCTTTTATTATTATCTCCAACCAGTCCTCTTTATGGATAGCCTGTAGCTACTTGATCCGTCTGAGTCCATCGCTGATTTGATTATGGAGGTCACCATGTTGAGCAAGATCTTTCCATATGTTTGAAATTAGTGCTAACTATGAACATATGATTATCTTAGCAGAATTGTGAAAGACAATGACCGTTGTAGATCAGTCAACATGGGACTTCATAGGTGCCACCAGTATACCTTTTAGAATGGTACAACTCCACTACTTGAACAGTGATATCACCCATCAAAATGATCAAATCTCAGCGTTTTGTTTCTAACAGTGAGTTAAACAACTTTTTTCATATTACAGATCCGTCACTTCATCCAAACTGCGTCGGTGGCACAGTGGTTAGGACTCTCGCCGACCATGCACATGGTCCGGGGTTCGATCCCCTGCCGGCGCACACCCGATATCTATGGTTGGCCTGAATTTGGGCTACCGATATCCTTGCTGAAAATTCCACACTTGTACTGAAAATACGGTGTGGAATCAAGCTGTAAATCAAAAAAAAAGAGGTTGGTGCGTAAACAGTAATTTTGTTATCAACAGCTGTCTTCGCTCAATACTCAAGATCAAATGGCCAGAAGAGATCAGCAACAGGGATCTCTGGGAGCATTGATGAGTATCACAATCTTTACTCCTTCTTGTTACATATCCCTTTAGCTGGAAAAAGTGATAATAATAATAATAATAAGTCTAACACTCCAGTTGGTATACACAAGTTTGCTTGCGATTCATGTGTGCGTTTTTTCATTCCTTGAATTCCGAGTGGAATATTATTATTGTTGTTCCCTTGGGTTCCTAGTGGAACATTTTTTAAAATTTTTTTTTGATTACAGCTTGATGCCACACCGTATTTTCAGTACAAGTATGGAATTTTCAGCATGGATATCGGTAGCCCAAATTTTGCAGGCCGACCATAGATATCGGATGTGCGCCGGCAGGGGATCGAACCCCGGACCATGTGCATGGTCGGCGAGAGTCCTAACCACTGTGCCACCGACGCACGGGCTTCAACTGCACGTCTCCACTTGCTTCTCTCTTCTGTTGTATTTTTCACCTGTCTCCATGTTAGTCCATACTGTTTCAACTCCTCTTCACACGATCTCCCCCATGTCACCCTTGGACGTCCCACTCGCCGCTTCCCTTTCGGGTTCCACTCGAGCACTGGCCTGACGCGCGATGTCACCCAGTGGCCTCCTCAGCGAGTGTCCAATCCATCTCCACTTTCTTCTGCATATGTGCTAGGTGATTGGTTCTTGTTTTGTTTGTTCCCATAGTTTCTTGTTGGTGATTCTTTCCGGCCATCTGATGTTTAGTATAGAGAGAAGACAGTTGTTGTAGTTTTGTTATCGTTTTTACGAAGCAAAATTGCTAACTCATTTTCCGGGTTCACCATTAGCTAGTAAACTGCGCGAGGTATTGGAGTGCATCAACCGAGAATCGAACCCAAAACACCCGCGAGGCTGATGAATATTCTACCATTAAATTACCGATGTTTCATATGCTAATTTGTACTCCTTATTGAGTATCATTTTTTTCCTGTCTTCCAATGAATATCATTCTTATTGGTTCTTAATTACTTTCTTCTACTGTTTGTCAATTTTATGCACGGATATCTTTAGACTGTCCTCCATCAACATTCTATAATTCCTGGTTGACAATCCCAACTAGTTAATGAATGGATAATACAAATTAAGAAGAGTTGGAACGTATATTTGCACAAAACAGCCGGAAGTGTGCATATTACTAGCGAAATAGACAGCACACATAATTCTGCCACAGGATAGTTGGCGTTTTAAAAAACGACTAAAGTCGATTATATATCTTTTCAACGAATTTATATATATATATATATACGATTGTACAGCTTGATGATAAATTCGTTGAAAAGAGTCTCTTCGCTGAATCATTTGTTTTGATTTTCTATATGTTACAATGGGAATTTTCCATGAGATTATATATCTGTCAGTCAGTTAAACTATTAAATCATGGTTGGCTAACAGAATAATATTTTGATTGATACATCTCTGAATTGCATGTGTGATACACCTATCAACTAATATATTCCACAAGAGATTTGATAAATTTTTAACAGATGTAAATTTTTATGAGAATAAATATTCAACATACTGGCCGTTAAGATTTCCTTCTTTTCTTCATATGCTTTAATATTTAATTCGGAGGCTTCTTGTGATTTCTCAATCTATCGACGGAGAGAGATATAGATAAAAGCAAGAGTGATCATTTCATAGTGCTAAATATTGCTAAAACAGTTGTTCCCCATATGGAGTAACTTAGAGTCACACCAAGTAATGATGTTTTACAACGAATTTTGAAAGAAATATAATACCTCCTGTGCCCTCTTATTAAAACGAAGACTTCTGAAAATAGCGCAGGAAATTGACCTGCGTGTTAGAGGAAATTTAGTAAAAAGGCTTCAAATATTGTCAAATAAATAAAGGTAGATTCTTTCATTAACCTGGGTTAACTAGGAAGTCCTTTGAAAACCACTTAGCACTTGACAGCTGTTCTCGCCTAATAAGCAACAAATTCACATGAGATACAGTTCAAGATTGATATCGTATTGTACCAACAGAAGGCAAGACAAGGGAGCCAAGGTATGTTTCATTAATCCAACCACTGTTATGCATACACAGTTTATATTCTTTAACCAATCGCCGAGCGTTTGATTTTGGTTTACATTATGCGACATGAAATAGAATGTTCAAATGCATATATTTTATTCTGTTGCTAATGCATTATTGAACTGTGGGAATAACATTCCCACTCTAACATCAAATAGAATATTCAAATAGATATATCGTATTCTGTTGCTAATGCCGTGGGAACATGTGAGAATAATATTCCGTTGGCACACATTTTCTGTATCACACCACCACAATATGACACAAGTACAGTATGAGTCTTTCAATGAATTGGAAGTAATTTCGGAAATACAATCGAACATCATTTTGCATGGTTAAGCAAGGAACAAACAAGATCAGTTCGTAGCTTTGTTTTAGCACACCCTTTTAGGCAATCAGCATAAAGCTGATACTAATAAAGTATTTTAAAATTTATGTACCGCATTCCGATCAATATTAATTTCGCATTACGAGCTCGTCTTCTATATTCAGCTGAAGCCACATCGGAATCCATCTTAAGAAGCCGAATCTGCGGGTTCATGCAGCCGCTTTCCTCAACTTGGTCACCATTACACGGATGCAAAAATCTGACAATTTCGTCCTCCCCCTAAACCTTTTAAGATTTGTCGTCGTCTTAATTACTTTACCATTCTAACTACTTCATCTTTACTTACTTATTACACAAGCAACTTGAACATACAGTTACCGCTTAATTATTCCTTATTTTTCCAAAATTACGCATTACGCAATCCCCTCATTTAATTATCACAATTATTTCCAGCCTTTAAGTGTTGCATTAATTTTTCTTGACTAATCATCACCAGCCCCCCCCCCCCTTGACAAGTTGATGTTGACTAAATATTGTTAACAAATTTATAACCACTAGATCGGTAAATATTCTGTATTCTTTCTAAAACGTGATATACATTACAAGCAGACTCATTCATATATGAGGATCTGATTGAAAATATCTAAATGGGGATTTTTTTTCTATGCTGAACTCGTATTTACAAAAATGCTAGCCAGCCTTCTGCATTTGGTATACGCTAGTACTGCTTACACCTTCTCTCCAACCCCTTTCTCTGCCCTAAACATCATCATCGTCATCATCATTTCAGATGATTAAAGTTCATAAGGCCATTGTCTCTATTCCTTGTTCACTTTAAATTTCATTTAAGTGATGTAAACAATTCGTCTGAAAAGTCATCATAACACATGAACTTGACGTGACTTCTTTTTTCTATCTTGGTAATTCTAATCTTCACTACTCGTTATTTATATATATATACTGTACCATAAAGTCTTAATTAATATTGCATTTACTTTACACTGTGGCGAAAATAAAGTATTTGCATAAAAGTGGTCTAGCTGACAATGCTTTGGAGTTTGAAGCAATGAGTGCTGGATTTGTGTGCCAGTGTCAACACTATCACTCACTGGAGAAACAATCAACGGCAAAGTCTGATATGTATTCTTTCTAAATACAGAGTTCTGGCTTAGTTGATCTTATTACAACAGTTTATGCAGAGGAAGTAGATGAACTGTGTCTAGTAATTCCGCAATTTATTTTATTAGATTCAGTGAAACAGTATTACTTACTGGATAACATTTCAAACGCCTCACACATTACTTTAATTACAGGAACAGTTAGAATGATGTATGCATAAGGAGGAGGTAAGATTAAGTAAAGCCTCTTTTATTTTAGGGATGAACATTGGATGACTAATCAAGGACAAGAATGAATGCCCGGAGTAGAAAATTCTTTTAATTCAAGTATTGGTTTGTGGGGATTTGATTGAGCGGTTACAGAATTTCATCATGAGCTGACATAAATTAGAGAACCATTGGAAAATCTGGGAGTACTGGGCATCATCAGTTTGAACCCAAGACCTTCTGGTTACAAGGCGAGCTCGTAGACCACTAAGCCACTGGTACTCCACCCAATCCAATGGCCCATGAATTCTAACTTCTGCCAATTCACGACATAGCGTGACCACTAGCCAATGTCTTCGGTGGGTATTTGTCCTCACGCCCGACCTGCTGCACCCTATTGGTCCAATGCTTCTCTAACCGATGTCAGCTCATGATGAAATCCTGTGGCCAATCCTTTTAATTGTTCTGATTAGACGTGTCACATGACAATTGACTTTAGATTTATTCATTTCATAAAAATGCCATTGTCTTAAACAAAAACAATAATTTAATCTCTAATGTAGATTTACTTCTTTCAATTGATTTCTCATATTCTCTAAACTTTCTTTGTGTTTTTTCAACAGCATCTCCAAACCTCGTTGTATTGTATTACTAAAATAGATAAAAGATTGTTTTGTAGACGTAAGTTCATACCGAAATCATATCACAAATCAAAGCATTTCATGAAAAATCTTTTTTTCATTTCTATGCATTTAAACAGACATTGTCATAATGATTGATGAATGATGACAAATTTACACAGCCTACTAATGTTTTTATCAATATATCCCACACGCTAGGACTCTTCAGTTATACTTATATTAACAATAAGTTTATAATTAAGCATAGAAATGGCATTTCCCTACATATTAAGACAAACAGTATACTTAATCATTCCAGCTAAGTAATCACCATCTTTCTCTCTAGGTGGCTGAGGATAGTGGTTAATCCTTTCATCAACTGACATAAGAATAAAACTTGGGCACTGTGGTAGAGTATAATTCCATAATGGATAAGATTTTATTTTGATAAATCACACAGTGTAGTACAGTTATATTAACTGATGACGTTTCGAGCACAAACTATTGCTCATAATCATATCAACTTGATATGATTATGAGCAATAGTTTGTGCTCGAAACGTCATCAGTTAATATAACTGTACTACACTGTGTGATTTATCAAAATAAAATCTTATCCATTATGGAACTTTCATCAACTGGTTACAATTTTCGGTCTGAGAACTTCTAAACTCCTTCCCAGCCTAATCTTACTTCAATCAACACTGCTATTCGTGGTATGCACTAAGTCGTTATGCATAACACATTTTGCGATTTGTGATTATCTCCTTTCCTTCGGGCATAAATTTCTTGAAATATGCCTAGTCTTTTCAAAATGATTAGCAAAAGAAACCATGTACATACTACTGAAGTTGTCTTTCTCATGCTGATTAATTTGCTTAGAGGAAGGAAGTTATCAGTCCCTTACACAACTAACTAGATTCTACTCTGTTAATTCTTCGTATTTTGTCTTTTAATTTACCAAAAGGATAATTATAGAACACGATTTTAATTTAACTGTCGACTGAACTAACTAACTATCCATCGTGAAAGTCAGAGTTAGTTAAAAAGAATTCAGTTAATAGAGATACATTGCTCAAGTAACAGGTTAAGAGCTACGCTTATTGTAAGAGGGCTGATGACACTATTCAGCTGAAGAAGATGGAGTAAGAGGGGCTTAGGTCATTAGACCATATCCCCATCGAGAAGGTCAAACGCTGCATAGAGTGGGAGACCTTCGAGGTTTATGTGCTTAACAGAAACAAACCTTGAGAACTCAGCAACAAAATCTATCACTTTTATTTGCCGAATTACCTATGCAATGCTTTCGGAAAATAACAAAGAGACTTTATTCGATAGACACATTGAGAAAGGAATTCTCTTTCATTAACAAATATTTTTGATAGGAAAGGTTTCCCCGTTTAACTGAAAAAGAAGTATTAAAGCTGAATGTATCTTAAAGTGTTGGACAGTAGGTCAGGAAATGAACTATTAGCTGTCTAACTTGTACTGAAAATTAACTAACTCGTAATTGTCACTTTCAGGAACTGAAATATTGAGTTTCCCACTAGGAGATTAGTAACTTACATACTGTTGTTAGCTTGTACTCAGATGTAGTAAAAATGACATAGTATTGTGCTGGTGTGATACAGACAATGTGTGCCAACGGAATGTTATTCTCAAGTGTTCCCACAGTTCAATTCGGCATCAACAAAAGAATACTATGTATATTTGAACATTCTATTTCACATCGTTTGACGTAAACCGAAATCACACGCTCAGTGATTGGTTAAAGAATATAAACTGTTTGATTAACGGAAAATATACTTTGGCTTCCTTGTCTTGCCTTCTGTTGTTACAGTATCACGGAATAGTTTCATTGTTCATTATTTGTTTTATGTCCGATTTTTTGGAAGAAAATCAATCTGCTTGAGGTTTTTTTACTCCTTTACGTTCCCAGTGGAACCCAGGGGGCTTCAAGCTAGAACTTTGAAGTTTCGGTAGCAGTTGGATTTATTTTCACGGGATGAGGTTGCTAGTTTCATGCTCATCCTTCCCTCTTTACCAGTCTTGTTACTGGCTTAGGAGGTAAAGGAGTGTTTCGGCTGAGGATCGAACCGCGAACCACATTAGGCGTGAGTGGTGAGCATTCTACTGCTGTGCCACTGACCCTAATTAATCACATTATTCAAATGATTTCTTTCTGAATAGTTTTCAGATATCCCTTATCTCTCTTAAGACATTGTATCTCATGATTTTCATATGACGATTTCCATATGAATCCAAATTCCATTAAGGTGATTTCCTTTTTATCTTGTTAACCATGATAAAAAAATGAAAACGGATTACTGCTCAAGAATCATTCTCGTTTAAATTTCTCCTCAGCTTCCCATCCCTCTACAAATAGTTTCAAATGTAACAATAATCAGGTATTTTAATTTTGGATTTAGTAAGGATTTCAATTTATTGTGACATCAGTTTTGTTATGAAACAAAATCAGTTAGAGAGTAATTGAAATCAAAATCAAATCATCCTGGTCTTGCGCTCTTCGTCGGTGAGCAAGCACACCTCTTCCCCCAGCCCCGGGTTACAAGGTGGTTCTGTTGACCATTCGAACATTTGCTTGGCAAATCAATGACCTTAGAACGCTAACTTTGTCTATTTACGATGCTATGCTGCCACATACCTATGCCATCACTGAGAACCGGCCTAATGCCTAATATGGTAAACTGAAACTACGACAAGTGGGGCGTTTTAGGGTGACAGGGAGGAGGAGGTTGTGTGAGGGAGAGATGAGAGACTATGGACAGTTGTGGGGCCAGATAGAGAGAACCACAGAAAATTGGACAAAGTGGAGATGTCCTGCTGAAACCCTTTGTTCCAACCGGAAGTCAGAGGAACAATAGTAATGTAATATATACAACGACTTCTTATTAGGATTTCAGTACATATAAATATATATATATATATATCGTTCTTACCGTTTTTCTTTAGCCGCCTCAATTTCCTTATCTTTCCTCTCTATTGTATTTAATAACATGGATGTTTTAATCTGATATTCACGTATATTGCTTTGTAATTCTTCAACCCCCTGGGATAATGAAAATTCTTCAAATCTATGTGCACGTAATTCTTCACTGACTTTTCGATGAGGTCTATTAAAAAGGTGGAAAAAACTGATGATGAAAAGGATAACAATAATAATAATTGGTGGAAAAAGCGGAAGAGTGGTCACTCCATGGCCTAGAGCAGTAGGAAGAAGGATTTTTGTGTTAGTCCGACAAGCTTTGATGGAGGGATTCGAGAGATAATTCTAACCGATGGCTCGAAAGGTTTCCAGATATAGACCACAATCATAACCAGTTACGAACATGCTCTGATTCCTCCTTTCTTTCCTTTTTGAAGATAACATGAAGCAACGAGCAGTCCTTTGAATACACTTCATAAATATGCCCACTTGTTTGCTTGATTTCTCTCTGTCATTAATTCTATACCTATTTTCCTTTTATTGTTGTTTTATTATTTTCATGTTGCACATCTCTTGATGTCTACATTGAACCAAGTGTGTCTTTAAATTAATAATCACAATAATAAAAAGATGTGTTCGATACATTTTAGTGTACTTTCTCTTTTAACTGACTAAGGGAGACTCGGTTTCAAATTGTGTAGCTACCAAATGATTTCAGCTCCTTTGTCACAATGATCATCAAACGAACTCTCATCGGTCAGCATTAAGTTAAATGACAGAATATGGTAAGTAATATTGAGGTTAGGGGAAGTGTGTTAGGTAGAGAGAGAAAATTAATCGATGGGATTGTGAAGCTGCATCGACTGTGATGGCTAGGAGAAGTATGACACATACTGAACCACTGCCTTCCTCAGTATCCAGGTTTATTTTCTACAGGATTAGGATGGAAAGGATCTAAAGGTGATCAAAGCAAAATGTGGCATCAGTCCATGAAGTCTTTGACTGTTGGTTTGAGCTGGTCACTTAGAAAGGTATACACTGTCTGCCTGGGGTCATCGACATGCTAGAGATCAATGCCTGGAGACTGCTGGTGGCATGAGTCAAAATTGCGTTCAATAGTTTAGACATATTCACTTTTTGTGATTGTCTAGATTTTGGAAATTCTCACCGGTTTTCATGCAATTATATTTTCTCCTGTACATTTCTACTTATTATAGTTTCTTCGCATTCGTTTCCTCTTTTTTGTTTTCTCTGCCGCTAAGTGTAGCAACCTGAAGTGTTGCACTTTAGTGTTAAGTTCTATGTTGAAAATTAAGTCAGTCAGATGTATATAATAAGTCAGCTGAAAACGTTTGCTAACATCCAGTTTAATTTTTCTCATTACGGAGTTGTGTATAAGATAGATTAATGAATATGGCAAAGGAAACGACCATTCATCTACTCATTGTTATACACTTAGTAAACCAAGTCACTTCCTCTGCAACTGGTAGGTATTCATTCTAAATAACCGTCAGAAAAGAAGAATAGGAATTTAAAGCTTTCAGTCAGTTTCGATGATAAGATTTCTAGGCGTTGAACTAGCCAGTCTACTAGGCTGAAATTTCTGGCAGTGGCACTTTTGGAGAATTTAGTTTTCAAAATAAATATCTATAACAGGATTATTAGGTTACCTGTTAAAATCACAAGACTACCTGCAGTTTTCTCTACAGAAGAATGCATCAAATCTAATTCCGTTTTTCATAAACTGCACTTTAATACGTCACTGATTCACAGTCTGTACTCACTTACATCCCCCAAACAAATTTGAACCTACTGCTATGAATTTTTCAAAGGAATACTGAATATTGTCTAAGCTTGGAATGGTCTTCAGATAGAATAACACTGCTTCAAATCATATATCTGTTATCGATTATTACTGCTGTGATTACCTTATTCGAAGATTCTGCAGAAGAAATATGTACCTTTTGCAGTGAAACATGCCGATAATTCTGTACCTCACACAAACACATTATTCGGAGTACAGCTACTGTTATTTCAAGTGGTCTGTTCGTGTTTCATCTTATTATGCCTCCATCATCTGGACGTTTATATGTTTATCATAAATGAATTATTCATTATACAAAATTAAGCTACATACGATATCGAAAATCTCGACGTAGATTTCGTCAGCAACCGATACCAGTAACAGAAGCATTAAAAAATCAAAGAGTACTGATCTCTTGGGGAGTCACTGGTGAGTATTATTGAAGAGGTACAAACTATGACAGAGTAGTTGTGTAATAATCTTTAGCTTCCAGTCATTCTGTTATTTATATTGCCTAATTTATGTCCCCCTACTCAGATGATCATGACTTCCAATTAGACTTCCAAGAAGTCCATCTCGTAGTCAGTCACTTATAAGCTATCTAAATGCCTAATCAATATCTTAGTTTTTTTCTTCATTTCGCTACACTCAGCAATAAATATGTTTACTTATAAGATTAAAAGTAACAGTGGTATTTTTACTCTGAACAATGTGTTTATATATATGGTACGGAATTTTTGGCGTGTTTTTATTCACTCCTTATATAGGATCTTCAAGTAATCTACAGAATATCATTCTATAGAATATTGTTCAGTCTCAAACTTGCTCCACTCCTTAACTGTTTTGTCTCTTTAAAATGCACATAGCAATATACTGAAATCTGTTTAAAAATGTACGTGATTTCAGACTGCTCTACAAACACATAAAAAAAGTTAAAACAAAGTGAAACTGAGCACAGCTGATGTATAATGCTCTATCGAAAAATTAGATAGCGCAGTGTTTTAAACAGATTGCCATAATATTCACAATAAATGTCTTTCACATTCGATAATTGTAAATCATTCATGATGGAATGAAGAACTACATAAAAAATAATAATAATAAGTACGTTCTTCGTTTAGTGGACATTTAAAAGCTTCTACCTACTTTGCTAATTTTTCATTTTTTGCGGTTTGTATTCCAAGCGCTTTTTTAACTTTATTCTTTTGATTGATAATTTAACAAAAATTTAGAGAAAATTCATTAATTATAGTCATGATTTATGTGATCACACAATAAATACTCATATATATATATATATATATGTATATATAACACAGGTAGAGTTATAAAAAGTGATAAATGCTATAAAGCGGTTTGAACAAACTGATATTATCTCAACTGTTGCTTATAAATCAACAGATATGTTCGGTTTCTATTACTGTGTAGACTTCTAGTATGGCTACATGATTTTATTTATTTGATAGTTGAAGTAGAATCTAGAAACTGTATTTCATCATGTTTAGAACTTGTCAGCTGGATAAAACTCTATCCCGGAAATAATGACGTCCCCACTGAGAATTGAACACAAAACAGAATAATTTCAATAAACCATTAGAAAGTCTCACGATCCAGTCGGATACTGAAATAACGAGGAATATATACACAGATCTAACTGAGTGAAAGACTCTACTGTTATTTTGTTACCTCAGTTAGTGGTAAGAATATAATGAAAGCCAGGCAACCTGAATGTCAATATCAGGGAAGTAAACATTTCTAACAATATTTCACTGTGCATATTTGAAACAAAATGTATTTTCAGGTGTTAATTCGCAGTAATATGATTGAAAGTACTGGAGAAAAGTTTCGTCCCAATTCGGGATTCTGCAATAGTGTGCACCCAGCAGCTTCAGGCAAACCGCTTGACCATTCAGTCACTTGGGAAGGAATCCAATCACCGGACGCTGAATTCAAAACTTTGTCACTTCGCTACATATGTAGCTTCACCGCTAGCCAGTGTTACCGGAAAGTGTTCATCCTCATACGCGACCTTGTAGACTCCAATGGACACGACTTCTCACTTGGCAACTTCATCCCGTTTTCAGTCACAAGTGAACACTAGAATAATTTTGACAGATGTATTCAATTCAGTGGTCCATACACAAACACGTAACTAAGATTAATGGCGATAAGAAGCAGATTTACTAACTTTATGATTTGAATATTTTGCCACCATGAAATATTCCTTTAAAGTTTATTCATTCAGTAATTGGCTACTAACACTTTTTTGAGTAGTTAAAAATGGAGCAAAAATATTATATGAAATAAGAAGAGTTAGTTATTTGTCAATTTCTACTCGTAAACTTACAGTTTCTTCTTCCAGCTTTATGATTTTCCTCACTGCATTTCTACGCTCCTCAGTTATTTCTGAATTCAGCTGATCCAACATCTTTTGAACCTCTTTTTCCTGAATAAAAACAATATGTTTAGTTATTGATGAATTATAGACAATTAGCTAATTTATTCTTCTATATTCCCTAATTTGCTGAAATGAAAACAGTGTGCTGTCGAGTAATAGCTGTAATGACGGCTACAAGGTAGACATTGAATAATTATTATATTATAGCTATTCATGCCTAGTGGTTGAAGGTGATCGACAGGGATGCCCATGATTTGTTGACAGTCATCAGCGAGACATATCTGCAATCTCATGGTAACTCTGATTCCCACAGAGATTCACACCTACGCCACCCAGTGGCATATCAAAGACTCTAACACTAAGATGCTGGAATTCCCAACTGACCTACTGCAGGACTGTAACGGATGCATAGACTGATCGCTAAGGTGTTCTTAGTGTAGGTGCTGACCGAATTCTATCAGTTATTTCGTCATACTGCAATAGACACTAATTTTGACAGCTAATTTGAGATACTGGAAAAAGCAGCTAGCCCGAAAACCTTCATCATTTTCTAGCTGCTTATGAGTGATTTGGCAACTAAGTAAAATGCAGCCAGACATATTTGACTTTACAGTTGGGGTTGAAATTTTACGACAATTTCATCTGAAAGTCTAAAATATTCGTAATACAATGTGATCTGTTTGTAAATGATAAAAAGTCAATATCAGCCGGCATCACTTTGGATGATTTGAGATTACACGGTTCTGTACATGTCTGAGGAAAACGTTTCAAGCAGCCACCTTACTCATCACGTTCTCTAGAAGACAATTTATCCAGTCTAACGCTAAGGACAAGATATTTATCAGTTTATCTGCTCGTGTGGAGCAAAGTATATCGGCCATATGCCACGTCGAATCTGCAAACGTATTCTGGAACACTGTCCAGCTTGGTTGGCCAAAGGAGAAAAGAAGAATATCAGCAGCTCAATCCTCGAACACCTTGTCAAATCTGGACATCGAGCCATTCCGCATGAGTGCTTCACAGTGCTACAAAGAGTCCCCCAATATCACTAGAAACGACTTTGAATACGCCATTTGTACATAACTGAGTCTTTGTCTATTTGAGATCTGAAACAGGACCTCTGCATTCAAAAGCACCACATGCATTCCTTCACCCCATCGTGGCCATAGTAATGTTCACACCACAATTTTGCTTCCATTTATTATGTAGGTTTACTATTATTATTGTCATCATTTTTATTTTATTACCATTCTACTACTGTTTGTGAATAACATTACGTGTTCATACATACTTAGTAAAATAATAATAATAATTTGCTTTATTCCACTTTATTGTCTTTCCACTAGTTCTTGTCCACTCTATACAACTACACTGATCAGTCATTTTCTCACACTTATTACGTCATGCCAACTTCTGCTCCCTTTTCTAATTTCCACTTAGTGACTCCTTCTAGACTACACCTTATATTACGCAATACATTTTTCGAGGACAAATTTTACCAGTATCTGATTGGTCTTATAATTTCTTTGCTAAATATAATTACGACTGATGTACAGCTTGTGAAAATGAATCACCGAAAAGAAAATTTTCTCTGTTTACGTCTTTTCCCCCTGTCTGTATACTGAATTAATTCGAGTACACCTCTAAAGAGCTCAACACCAATCCACAATGTGTCGAAATGATCATTGTTGTATAAAGATCAAAATTTTTAACTAACAACTGCATATTGACTCAATGATCGAATTTTCAGCAGAGAACTTTGCAAAAAATTGCATCAGTTCTGGGTGTCACAACTCATACCACCACATGTTAAGGAAAAAAAAGAAATGCAAAGAAACCATGATACATAAAAATGCACGGTAGGAAAGACAGTCACATAGAAAATATAAAAGATCACAAGGAAAGAATACATCTGCATAACTGCGATGTATCTTGAGCGATGTCACTAAAAGGATTCAGCTTTGGTTCCTAGCGTCTTGAAGACCTCAACCATCCAGCCGATCAAAAAACCCTCCCTTATCTGGCCTGAGTGGCTCCCACTAACAGTTAAAGACTTCATGGACCAGTGCCAGGTTTCCATTTGACCAACTCTTTCCCAGCCTAGTCGTATGTCAACTAACATTGTAATACGAGAAGGCCAACAGATTGGAATGGGTAACACGTGCCTTAGACATCTTAATCAATGCAGCTTCATAACCTCATTGAATAAACTTTTCTCTTTACCTGACATTCTATGCACAACCTATATATTACTCGCTACTTTGTAATAAGTTGAAAAATTAATAGAAAACCAGTCAAATGTGATTTACTGATGAACACTTGAATGTGCGTTACCTTGAATTCAGTCATTTGGATCTCTTCAAGTTTTTGATTTAAAAATATTTGTTTGTTTGCTTTATTATCAAGACAATTATTTAATGTATCAACTGTTACACTGTTCTCTTCATTTGATTTTAATTCATTCAGCCTGAAATTTAAGTGTAAGGAAAAAGATGTGGGAGATTTGATAAGCATAATACTTCATAGTGTTGAAATATGCAGAAAGAAAAAAATATACTGACAAATTAAATAAAGCCATGAAGAAATATGAATGGACACTTTTACATAACTGGGATTAATATCAGCCTATACTGGTCATCATAGTAATGCGATACCATATTGATTACAATAGCTACTTATCTCCTTCAAACTTCCAGGCATTCTAATACCGTTATGTATTCACCTATTTTATCATCACCCATACTATAGGTTCGATGTTGTTTCATCTCTTTCAAGGTAACATCTAAAAATCTAACTTAAAAATGAGCTAGTGTTTAATATTTCTCCATAAATGTAACAACTATCTTTCCTGATAAGAACTTAGATCCATTTATTCACTTATATTGATAAAATTTGTTTTATTGACTTGATATTTGAATTTTCGTGCATGTGACTTCTATCTCATGGTTTGATGAACCTGTTCTGTTTAAGTGCATATTCATCCCAGTATCAATGTTCTGGGAATTCTAAGTGTTTCCTTTGTCTAAGACCTACACATTTTAAGGCAATCGCATAACTTTTAATTATATAAACAAAGCCTGACAGTTAATTAAGTGCCTTGATAATGATTATGAGCAGCAATAAATTGTCCTGGAAACATTATGAGCAAAAACAATACTGTATTACTATGTGCTTTTATCAGATAAATTTATTTTATGATGGAATTATACTCCACTACAGTCCCCAAGTTCTGTACCTATATTTATGCATTTTTCCAGTGGAATCGGTTTTCATAGTGGGGAATAAATTGTGAGGAGATGAATAGGTGAAGATGAAGAAACGTAATGACAGTGAAATGGACAAAATCTATTAGAAATACGGTAAAATATTTGCATAATAATGATGAACCAAAATATTTAACAATAAAATGGAATAAAATTATGCCAATAATTTTATTGTGGCTTGTGGTTTGTAATGCCTTTGAGCGTAAAAGTCAGATTATAAGTCCTGAGTAGCTAGTGATTTGGCTGTGTATAAATAGCGCATTCGAAACCTTCTTGTGCGGTAATGGGGCGCTATGCAGATCACTTTGAAGTGGACCTGGATTATCATTATTATCGGTTATTAATAACACTGCATTCCTCATACAGACTTTATGTAAGCACATCAATATGTTTCAACTAGTTTTTATCCATTTCATACATTTATGGTGATTAGGTTATTTTTCACACATCATACAATTTCAGTTTCCATGTTTGTATTTCCCCCTTGTACATTCCCTTCTAGATAATTCCTGTTGCAATAAGTAGACGATTTTTTAGAATATCATTACCAGTATATATGGTCGGTTTTATGAATGGATTACAGTATCACGATTCATGTAATATGATTCAGTTCAGCATAAAACAATGACACAATGTAAACTCGAGCACTGTGGTAGAATACAGTTCCGTATTAAGTAAGTTTATTTGCTATAACAAACAGTGACGGTTTAGTGTTAATAAATGGATGAGGTTTCTAACACTATTAATTGCTCATAATCTGAACAATGTATTCAAAGGACTTCCTAGCTTACTGTATATAGCCTTACTCCGACTCCCTATTTTTTATTGAAACCTCTATACATCCGGGATAGGTACTGCACCATTTCCATTGCACGTGTTTTTTGCTGACTTGATGAACAAAGATTTGGTTATTAATCTCTCTCTCTCTCTCTACACAGTTATACTACTTTTGATTACTATTAAGTCGTCGCACCCCACTGCTTGGTCACATGCAATTCAAGTTAAAACTCAAATAACACTTGAAACATCCCAGAAGACAAGAGTGTCCGCATTCAGTAAATCCAGAAATACTCACACTAAAGAGTTTGACAGGTTAGTGGAAGAAAAATATCCCACTAAGAGAGATAAAGTTAGCAGTAAGACACGATCAGCCATCGATAAAACAAAGTGAGTGATCAGCCTGTCAACAACAGAACTAAGCTCAAAAAAGGATTAAACCTCATTGTGACTATTAGTGGATTAAAACCTGGGGACATCATTCCTGGTTTAAAAGTAGCATTCAGTGCAACAGACTACTAATGAGGAGGCCACAGCACAATGTGCACTGACATTGAAACGTCCAGTTAGTAACACTATTTCTGTGTGCTATACCAAGTAAACTTACCAAACGATGGACGAAGCAAATTGTTCATAGTTTGTGAACCATTTCATATGGTAAAAATTCCCACTTGGTCAACAACCTAATTTTCACACCGTCATTCAATCGTATTACAGCTATAATATTACTTTTTTCCTTAACATTTAAAGCATTTTTCAAGAAGGCGTCCTCTGAATTCCTAACACTAATGTTGATTCATCGCTTCCGTATAGTTCAGACACTTAGTGTATCACCGAAATTATTCTCAATAGGCTATTGAAGATGGATGCAATACACACGAGAGACCACACAGGAGGTTCAGACTTGATTCATGGCAGACTGACTCCTAACCATCGCCTATTTTATTATCCGACAGTATACCAGAAAATGACGGGAGTTCGGACATTACGATGACAGCCTCTCGGCTCTCGTAAAAGCAGTACCTATGCTGCTTAAAATCCAGAGCTTGAGGCCTTAAATCCCACTCGAAATGTGAGTGGAATCTTACCTATGTGGATGACTTGAAAAATTACCCAAATTTTTGGACTCAGCCTTTTACTAACCTTCAGTAACTGAATTTATGCTGGATTTAAAAAGACCCTACTGGCTTTCTTACTATATTTTTGAGTTTGAATTTCAGGTGTCACCCTACTATCTTCACTAAAGTGAATATCTAGACAAGGAGAATTTCCATTCACACATTGCGAACCACTTGTGAAAGCCATTCAAGTAATGGACTAACAGCGTTTACATTTACAAAAACAACCACTTACTTACATTTACAAAACAACCACTTCTTAACTTTCTATGAAGAACCATCCTGTGTAGTGTATATACCAGGTAGTGTACATTACACATATCTACTCCACTCATTCGTTTTTTAACTCTCATACCAAGTATGTTTATAGATATCTCTAGCCTTGTTTCACACTTTGTAATATTTTGCAAAAGAACCCTTAACTAATTTAGACTAAACAGGTGACATAACCCTGTCAAATTAAGGCAATGAGGAAACGATCTGAGGGCTTTCAGAATGAGTTTTCCAGCTTTCTACTTTAAAATAATGCCTGGTATGTATCGATGCACTGTTTGATTATGGGGAATTAAGTGGTGGGGGGCATTTTATCTAATTCACCAACCTAGATAGTCGTATATGCCTTGACAAAATTTTATAAGTGACTCAGAAGGGTTGTACAACCTCTTTTCACAATGAGTTACTTTTCGGGTAGATGAAATATTCAATACTCCTGTTATAACGCAATGGATTAAGATAAACCGCGTGTCGCCTTTTTGTTGTAACTGTAGCGGGAATTAAAATGAGGTACGTTGTTGCCTTGTTCTGTCTGCGCCTGACTAATATGCCTATCTGCTTCTGGTACCTTCCGACTCAGCGAACCACGCAAATATCAAAAGACAAAGTCTGGTCTGTGACTGTGTATTGTAGTACAACACTACGACTACGACAACAACGACGACGACTACAACAACGACAAATAAACTTATTTAGGAAATGGTATTTATACAATTTTACAACCAATAGAGACAGCTAACAGTATTTGAAATAATTGGTCGTAATAGTCAATAACAAAATGCGTGGGAATGATGATATACCACATATGCGAGATTAACAGTCATTAAGATAACTGAACAATAACAAAGTGCCTGGGAAATGATAATATAACACATATGCGAGATTAACAGTCATTAAGATAATTGACAATAGCAAAGTGTGTGAGAATTGATGATATACAACTTATACGAGATTAACAGTCGTTAAGATAATTGAACAATAACAATATGCGTGAGAAATGATAATATACAACATATACGAGATTAACAGTCGTTAAGATAATTGAACAATAACAAGTGTGTGGGATCCTATCACCTCCCCCCGTTAAAAGTGTAGGACTTGCTTTTGAATCGATTTGAAAAGGTTTTGGAGCTCTTCTTTGTCGAGTTGACCTTTGCGTACTGGATAGATTGTGATCTGCGTCCCGGGCTTCCGGCTGCGGAAGGATTTGGCGTCGTACAATGATAATGTAGCAAGGATCTATCCAAAATTTCTTCTGTTGTTCCCTCCCCCTTCGGTTTTGCATAAGCACGCAGGCGTTGCAAGAGAGACTGACCAGATACATGTGCGGGAACAACATTATTTGGTGAGGACGAAACATTAGAGCATACTGAATTTAATGGTACATTGAAGAAATGGAGCTTGTCTAACCAGTCAAGACCAAGCAAATTCAAATCATGGTAGTTTGTGACATAACATACACCATTGAACTGTTGCTCACCAAACTGAACCTGGCAATTTATCTCACCCACGAGTTTCAGTATGTCTCCTGAGGCATTCTTTGCGACATGCTCGGTCGGCAGAATCTGTGGGCACCCAAGTTTGCGCCACGTAGTTCGGGAAATTAAAGTGATATCTGATGCCGTATCCAACTGAAGACGACTAGATTTGCCGTTAATGCGTAGTGTAATGTACTTACGTTTGCTGGCGAAATCGACTTTGGAAGTTGTGAAAATGGTCTGTATTCGAGGAGATTGTTTCGGCTTGAAACGACTACTTCTGTTCTTCGCCGAAGAATTTTTCTGTGGTGGACAGTAACCCTCTTTATGTCCAAAACGGTGACAATTACGGCATTTATGTTTCTTGAAAGGACAGAACTTGACAAAATGCCACGAACCACAGTGCCAGCACACTGAAGGAGGTTTAGCTGAATTCTGAGACTGACGTGCTGTGTGCTTAACGGTGATCGGGGGACTTTTCACTGTGTTAACTGAATCAAATTCAGACGACTGTCGTTTGCACTCCAACATAGCAGTATCGTGCTTCAAGTTGATTAA